CCAAGCTCTCTCCCTGTCTGTGTGTCTCATGGAGAGCAAGCTGGGGTATGCGAAAAGATAATTCCTAATGCAATAAATTGTAAAGGGTTAATAAAGTAAAGTAATGTAATGTTAATGTAATAAAATAAACCGCTCACAATCGCCAGGCTTTTGCAAGCAAGTCACGTTCCTTCAGAGTGATTTACAATATCCAAATCCTACCTTCTGTCAGTATTCTCCTAACACGTTCTGCAGGGAGGGGTAATGAAGTGGTATTCATATAAAACCTCTGTTATCGCTTAATTACGTGAAACGTCTCATAGCATGGTGGGGAGAAAAGTTTGAACCAAAAAATAAAAACCTATTTCCTGGTAAGTTCACGTGCTGGTCTCGGACACCTGTCCAACAGCATCTTTATATCTAAAAACCCCTGTCCTGCCTTTAAAGCTTTTATCAGAAGTGTGAGCTAACGGCATCTCCACCACCAGAGGCACTCACTTGTGGTAGATGGCCTGGCAGTGCTCCACACTCATGTCGCAGATGAGCTCCTCCATCCACTGCTTCCACATGTGGGCCCGGTGCCGGCGGAACACGGCGCGGGGGTACAGCAGGGCCACGGTGGCGTAGCTGTGCAGGTGCTCCAGGCAGCCCCTCAGGAGCGACCTTCTCTGCTGGAACAGGGCGCTGACCTCCCCCTCCAGCTGCTCGCACTGGCTGATCAGGTGCGCCTGACCCGCGTTTTGCAGGAAAGCGGTGGCTGGCACGTAGCTGGGCGGGCCTGGCAGGAAACGGGCAGGGAGCGTCAAAGAGCGCAGTGCAGTTATGTGCCCAGAGGTATTTTTTTTAAATTACTTATATTTTATTGTGTTTTCTTATGAACATACAAAAGCAAATTTACATTTAAAAAAATTTGCCACTCGTCTCAAAATATCAAGTATTGCAAATATAAATGAGTACAAAGTCTGTTACTTATGACTCTTTTCCATTTCTCCCGAGGTATTTATGCAGTTCATATATATATATAACAAGGGTTGTATTACATAAAGAAAAAAATACCATGCAGCTTACAGAATTCATGTTAATATATGTATTCTAAAAAGGTAAACGCAAAACAACAAGTGAAAAGGCTGAGAGACACAGCCCCTACCAGGTGTCACCAGTTGAAGACCAAGTAATTGAATACAGCAAGGAAGTGTCTTACCCAGATCAATGGGGCTGCTGATTTCCTGCAGGAGGCTGGCAAGTTGAGTGGCTTCAAGACTGGCAAAGGCAGCCTGGTACTGGGATATCCACTGCTCGAAGTCCGACAGCTTCACCTGGATGGCCTCCTGCACGGCCCGCTGCCGAGACTGCAGCTGGGTGTGCTCCGAGTACCTGAAGCAGGCAAAGCAGGTTACACTGACGGTGCTCTCCCCTTGTACAGGGCAAAGATGGGCTCCATCACTCCATCATCATCTACACAATAGTCAGTAAAAAAAAAAACTCAATGGGCTGGAGGCTAGCGAGATTCTACCACCAGATTTCTACTTGCAGGTTTTACCCTTCCTGCTGCATGCACATTAGACTTTTTGTAGGCAAAGTGTCCCAGACGGTACCAATGCTAATTGGGGGAAAAAATAACAAAGCCATCTGAAGTCACTTTCACATCTGGCCTGACAAAGGGCCTAACCTAGACCTAACAGTATCTCAATCTCTGTAAAGAGTTTTTCCAATAGGGAAATAAAGACAGGCCCTCCTCGCCCTGAATCTGTACTGTAGCGCACCTGTGCTCCAGTGTGTGGATGGGATGGTCCGTCCTGCTGTCTGCTCCCTCCAGGAAGTCGATCTCCTCCAGCAGCTTGCCCTGCAGCTTCTCAACCTCAGTGAGCTGCTCCTGCAGGCTCAGGTACTTCTCCACCCCGCTCTCCACCTGCGGCAGCACCGTCAGCATCTCCTCTCGGTTCTTAAACCAGTTCACCTGCAAAACACAGGCGTGTCACTGGCGGTTCTTCACTGCAGGACAGTGCTAAACCTATGTAGTGGAGCTGGAACAAACCAGAAGGCTAACAGCTTGAAGGGCTCATATTCAGGATCGTGCAAATTCTTAGAACCAGTGTCTGCATTTCCTACTGCTCGAGGCGACCACTGCTTTCACTAAATTTTACCTTGGCTGGTCAAGCAGACATAGCGAGCCCATAGTAGGACGATTTCTGTCTATTCAATTCAACTTTATTGTCATTAAACTTACACAAGTGCACAGTATATTGAGAAGTGTTTCTCATTAGTCACTCAGGCGCATTATATAAATAAGACAGAAGATAGACAACAGACAGTAACACAATAGCAATAACGGTAACATGTAATAACATAAATAACATGTAATCAAGTAATCAAAACTGCAAAATTCCGCAAACAGAGAAAATATAACAGGAAAAAAACAGTGCAAGGTAATTCTTGGAACAGTGCAAAAATAGTATGGTTAAAAATAGTATGGTTAATTAATAAATATGAAATATTATTACGACCGGTACAGTTTTACTGGGCTATGCAGTGCTTTGCATATTGCATACAAAAATACATTGATTTTAAGCAGCTCATATCCCTCAGGGCAATCCCAACACAAACTAATACCCCCCCAGCCTTCCAAAAAGAGAACACGAACGCGGTTTTGCAAATGATGGAAGCTGCGAGAACTGACCTTGATCTCTGCTACGCGGGAGGAGAAAAGGCTGCGGGTGATGTCCCTCTCCATCTCTCTCTTGGTCTGCTTGCTCTCCGCCTGCTGCCCCCCGCCTCCGTAGACCGCACCAGCGAAGCCCACCTCCCCACTGGCCGTCCAGTCTACCAGGGGGTCGTACACAAAGGCCTCCAGCAGGGTCAGCAAGGTCTCTCGCCCCCGACGCATCATGTGGATCACCTGCCCAACCAGACCAATGGCAATTTCCAAGCACATTTAAAACCGCGAAGGGGCAAACATTTTAACTTTCATTCTCTAACCTGTATTCAAGAAAATAAACCATACAACGGGGCTCACCTGCTCACAGGACAGTCTAAATATGCCCTCAACCCCGGTGACCCCCAGTGCAGTCTCGATGTTGTGGGTCATGCGGAAGGGGACCTTCTCCGGCACCCTCAGGCTCTTCCCTGCGATACAACGCAACGTAAGCCTTCCACCAGCGGACGCAGGAGGTCCGGAACGCGGGCCGTGTCGGGAACAGGAGCTCATTCTCACCTTTCTCAAAGCAGACGTTGTAGTCAATGTGCACCACTTCGCCCGTGGTCATGTCGATCAGCACGTTGTCCAGGTGCCGATCTCCCAGCCCGATGATGTATCCCACCATGGACATAACGGCCGTGGACCTGGCATAGGACTGCAAGGCAGCATTGGAAACACAAGACGCACATTAATCCCAAGAGCAACATTACGGCATGTTGCTTTTCACACAGTCTCCCCATTTGAAGCAATCCTTTTGAAATATGGTTGAGCTGCAGAATTAATTGTTTTTTTTAAATCCGTCACCCCCCCACTACCTGTCCTGGCACGGCTGGCGGCCTCACCTGAGTGACTCTCCACCACTCGCTGGGGGTGGTGCAGGAACACCACAGCTCCTTGGCGAGCAGGTTAGGCGGAGTGGCCTCCATCAGCTCCCTCAGGACGTCCCTCATGACGCTCAGCGGCCAGTCCCGCCGGGACACGTCCAGGCTGAGCCCCACTGCCTTCAGCGCGGGGCTGATCTTGCTGTAGTAGAGCTCACTGGGCCGGGGCACCATGGGTGGGTTCTGGGGCTGCTGGAAGGAATCCTGGATCTGGACATAAACACAGACAAGATGGTCATCTTTCAAGATCAGAGCTGGATTAAACGACACTAAGCTCCGATGATATTAATCAAACATTGACGCTTCTCTGTAACCTTTCCTGCTTACAGCTATGAGGCTCACGTGTCACAAACGGGGAAGTGGATTGCGAAACCATCATTGCTTCCAAAAAAGGCTTTCATGGTCTGCTGTCAGGGTCTTCAGATGTCCTACCTTCTGAGCTTGCAGGATGGCCTCCCGTTGCTGCCAGCGCTTGTACAGCCCAAAGAGGGGCGTGGCCCCATCCACCCACTGGATGAGTCCGGAGCGTGTGCCCAGGGGAGTGACAGAGTAGTGACGGGCATGGAAATGGGGACTTTCCTGCTGGTTCACTTTTGTAAACATGGTGTTGACAATGGAGAGGAACTGCATGATCCTTTCATCCAGATGCAAGTCCTCCAGCCCTTAAGGGAGAGAGAGGGGAATGTTGTCACTTGATGGAGGCACTTTCATTTCTGGCAGTCCTGAACTTTACGTACAACAAGCAAAGATCTGTCTATATTGTGTAAAGCAGCAGTGAAATCAAGCCAGTTTACCTTTGAACAGGTAGGGGTAGTTCCTGCCATCAGAGCCCAGGAAGTAGAGTTTCTTGGGCTTGGTCTTGGTAGGGAGGATGGTGATGGTGTTGCCCACACTCTGGATGGTGATAGCATCTGTCGCAGAAACCTCTCCAGGCAGAGCGATCTCAGTGCTCAACATGGCTGCCAGGCGAGGGCTGATCTCATCCAAATGCAACAAATAACTCGCACGTTTCTGTGCACGCTGCTGCAGACTCAGCATGATCTTTGGCAGACAAAAGGCCAGTTGCATGATGAGTCAGTAATACTATTCTCAGACTGCAGACATTACATACTAATATACTGTACATAAATGTGTATTACTCCCATATTCTCCAGATATTAAAGATCAATACATGAAAATATTGAGATAATTAAAAAAAATGTATACAACGAGAAAGATTCACCATCGCTGTGCTATTCAGGACAAAACAGAGCCAGAAATTGTATAACAAGCATGCTTGTATATTTGGTGATCATGTCATTTCATTGCCTAGTTGTAGTTTAGGGTACAGACCTGCTTGAAAGGTATCCAGCTGCTGGCAGGGTTTGCCGGGTTCGAGGGGTTCCTCAGTCTCTCCAGAGCGTTGTCAATAGCACTTCCGAAGTTCTCCTGAAACCACGTCTCATGGGGGGTCTCAGCGGGAGCTGCTGTAATGCTGCGCACATGTTCTAACGCAAAGACCACCGGCCTCATCAGAGCAGAGTGCTTCTCTCTCATGATGGCAATCTTCTCCTCCCTGAAACACACCGACAGCTCAGAAATTAAAACGCCTGGGGCTTTATAATACATGTTCAAAGTTGCTTTTACCACAGGTGAGGAAAACCTATTTCATACGGGATCCGTAATGTTAAAACATCACTAGCCACGTCATATTACACACAGTACATAACACAATATGCATTAGAAGCAGAAAAATGTTTTTCAAACAAGATTTTAAGTTTTAATAGACCTGCAGAATCTAATGACTAGGAAGAGTGTGACGGTTTAGGAGCAACAAGGATAATCATCTCCAAGCAGCTCTCTACCTCTGTAATCAGACCTAAGTCTAGAGAATGCAGACAACATAGAAACACATAAAGAGACAATAAGTTGCTAATAGAATTGTGACCTAATTTATCTCAGACCCTAAAACAGAATTTGAGTCTAAGAATCTAAGATTTCAAAGAGCACGAATGCCAAGAAGCAAAGATGTGAGTAATATAGACTCAAGTTCAAGCTGTAGTTAAAACAGGCAACTGAGTTTTGAAAACATTACAAAATGATCAAGTACAGATCTAGATTATATATATATACTGCAGCGTGTTGTGCACATTCTGATTGGTCCATCAGTGTATGAAGATCGGAGTATCTTTTCTGGGGGGCAGCTTAAGAGTGTCAAAACCCGAGGGAAAAAGCAGAGAAGCCGCTCACTTGCGCAGCGTGTTGTTGTTCTGCACCCTCTTGACCTCGTCCTCCAGCTGCTGGATCCTGCGCAGGACGTGCATGTGCTGCTGCTGCAGGACCCCCAGCCACAGCTCATCCCAGAGCAGGGTGATGCGCCGCAGCTCACCCACCAGCATCTGGACCTGCAGGAGAGCCGGCCACCGTCGGCCAGGAACGTCAGCGGGAGCCTCCTGGGACATTCACACAGCACCCCCCCCCGAGAACAAACGCTCATCCTTTCTCACTTTTTATCAAACTAAAAAAACCCCACAGTTTACGCAAATTAAACTAAAGTGTAGACCATAATACATGCTAGAACTGATCATGTGAAACACCTAACCCTTACACAGAACTCTCCAAAACTGCAGAGCACAAACGTACGAGTCCAACACTTTCCAAAATGGGTCTCTTCCACCCAAACTCCCCCACCCCCTTCTGCAGAACCGACAGTACCTGTAGCACCATAGTTGGGTTAGCAGAGGAAAGTTTGTCCACAATCTTGCTGTAGCAGTCCTGCATCATGGCTTGGTCCTCGCTGGAACACACCATCTCCTCTCCCTTGCTGCTCTCCTGGGAGGCTGGGGCACTGCCCGCCTCGCTCTCGCCACCGCACAGCGCCTCACCCTGGATATTGCTCAGCAGGGTGGGCAGAGCCGATGGCAGCTTGCCTCCTGCAAACCAGCGGGAGCCACGGTTAACACGACCACTCCAGCATCAAGACCTCCCCTCCCCATCCACCCCTCCGTCTCGACGCAAAAACCCCAACGGTCTCCGCAGTTCGCAATTACTAAGAAAAGGATACTGATGCAAAGCAATTGAGTTTCATAGAAAACACAATATACATGCTCAACAATAAGTCTCATATACTTAAAGCACAGATGTACAGGGTATTTAAATATACGGTGAAATAACACTAAAACCAAAAGAACGATGTGCAGCTTAAAGGCGAACTGCAGTCCTAGTTTCTCAGGCCGGTTATTAAGTCTCCATAACAGAATAAATAAAGACGGTATGGCAAAATTTAACAGATAAACTAAGCACAAAACGGTGAACTTTGTGAAGGTACTGGAGAGCCGCCAACATTGTTGCCGACCGCTGGTCTCGCCACGGGTCACGCTAATGGCTAATGCAACGTGATGCACCAGCGAACAAGGGCAGGTCGTGCAGCCGACATTTCACCGCAGAAATGCCCCACCGTGATCGGCACGCAGAGTTCACAGGCAGTATCTGTACCGCCTCAAAAGCCGAGAGCAATATTTCTAGTGGATTAAAAGAGATGTATTCACAAGCCTGCTTTGTTTACAAGGTCATGGGGCTGCTTCACGTCACTGGATGTTTTCTGCCTCATTCTTGATCGCGGAACACGGCGCCGCGCGGAGCTGGCCACGCCAGGCCACGCCCGACCGCTCCGCAGCCTGGGGCCTCACCTGCGGCCTGAGCCTCCCCTCCCAGGGAGATGGAGCCCACGATGGCCGGGTACAGGACGAGGTGGGGGGAGTCCTGCGCCACCCGGCACAGCAGGCTGCAGATGCTCTGCCGGATGTACACCTCCGGGTGGTTCAGCCTCGAGAACAGTTGCGGGATGATGCCTGCCAAGATATGGGAAGAGGAGGAGGAAAAAAAAAGTGTTTGTGAACAACGCCTTGTAAGAACCAAACTGTGAGAGCTGCACAGGGGCTGCAGCGGTGATGGGGGGGGCGCCCCACCTCTCCAGGGCGCCGTGGGCGTCGACGCCAGGCCCAGCTCCAGGCTCTCCCTCAGCTCCCCCGCGTGCTTCACCAGCAGGCGCAGCAGCCGCAGGGTCGCCATGACGATCATGTCGTCGTTGCTCTGGTTGCCGGGGTCGTCGCTCAGCAGCAGTTTCGGGTCGTCCTCGCTGATGGGCACCTGCCAAAACACAGGTACCGCACTTACAGCCCACTGAGCCCGGGCACAAAAAAACACGGACACCCTGATAATGGCGTCCTGGTCCGAGCCAACGAGGAAAATGCTTCCTTCCAAAGCAACTGTTTTGCACCGGAAGAAAAACTGCCAAGATACACAACCTATGACAGTACATCGTACTTTCAGACTTAGGCTGTAACGCAAATGCACAAACCGCAACCCCAGGTGCAAAAGCCAGACACCCAACACCCGCTGTACTGACCTGCCCGGCGTTGAGCTTCAGGAAGGTGAAATAGGCCCGGCACGACACCCTGTACAGGCTGAAAATGCGGTCCACCACCCGGCGCCACACTCTGATGAGCCCCTCGGTCACTCTCTCCTCTGCTTCGGACAGCCAGGGGCACGAGCTCAGCAGCTGCCTCCAGATCACATCCACCATGTCATCCTCCTCACTCTCCTCGTTCTGCAGAGCCATGTCTTCGTCCTGGGAACGACACAAGCGCTCTTTCTTAATTCACACCTAAATATACTCCATTCATGGAGAGCGCTGAAACACTAAAGTGGCCCCCAACATTTTCAGCCGATCGCTACAGCATTATATATCACACTGTGCATCATCATCTTGTCCCCCCCACAAGGAAAACATACAAGACTCAGGAAAAACACACCGTTGGCGTTATTTTCCCCCACCAACCTGGATTCCCGCTGGTCGACACATAGCCTGGCCAAGAATGCTGTAGATGGTCTCTTTGTCATCCTCCGAAGCGCAAGCTGGAAGCAGCTCCTCTACTTCCTGCTTCTCCCCCGGCAGCAAAGGCACACCCTCTCCTTGGCTGAGGAAAGACCACAGATGAAATGCCACGAGTGACGCATCACTTCACAATCACTGTAAATTAGGAGTAAACCGCGTATTCTTGTGTTAAATCCAGCACTCGCTCCAAAAGGAGCTCTCTTTATCTCAAGGCAGGCTAACGCGTGTCTGCTATGATAGACCTCACTGATGAGGCTCCATGAACAGTGGGCTACCAACCTGGCGTTGTCCACGACCTTTCTGCCCCATCTGTATGCCCAGCTGCCAAGGGCAGCCCAGGACTTCGCCACTTCTGGAGCTTGAACAGCCGACAACTGGTACAGCTGCCCCAGCACGAAGTCGGCCTCCCCAACTCCCACACTCACTGCCAGGGAGAAGAGCAACGAGAAGGAGAGATAGATACTTTATTGATCCCGTGAGGGAAATTGCAGTGCAACAGCAGCTTAACACACACACAACACAGCCACAGTGTAACGAATTATATAATAATAGTACAATACAATACAAGAGTTACTCACAGTCCGGACACACAAAGAACAAACTAGAACAGAACAGTACACAGAAAAATCGTATCACACATATGATTATAAATATAGAGATATAATATAATATAAATATAAAGGAGAGATCAGGAAGGAATACAGGTGGGATCAACTGGAGTCCAGTCTGGGGAAAGAGGGAACACTGACCACACCCACAGCACGCCTCAACAGCTGGACCAATAAGAATATTCATGAGACGTGAATAATGCAACTCTAGGGTAAATTTATTTTAGCAAGACATTATAATAAGCAAAAAAGTGGGGAAAAAAATCTAATTTAGCATAACTAGTGACCACAGTAAGGGGGGTAATTCAAGTGGGTCGGCAGGCGTCCGACTACCTGTGGCCTCTGCAGTGATGCCTGGCACGCCCTGGTCCTCCAGCGGCAGCTCCAGCAGGGCGGCGATGTTTTTACCGAGAGGGGGTAAGCTGGGGGGCCTCTTCACCACCTGCTTCAGCTGCGCCGTCAGGTCCTTCCACTCCGCCACCAGCCACTTGCACAGGGTGAGGACGGAGCGGCAGGCGGCCCGCTCGCACTTCCCCGAGCGGCAGTACGACAGCGCGCACGAGCTCATCATCTCCATGGCCGAGCCGGACTGGCCTGGGCAGGGGACAGGGAGAGACGCGCACAATGACGGGCGAGTGCAGAACCACTCCGGTCAGCTGCCATCAACTTCCGATTAACCATGCCAAGAATCCCTCACAAGAAGGGGGCTGCCTTGCTCTCCAATCCATTTCTCTTGCAAGGTGACGTCAGCAATCGCCTTCACTCTCATCCAACACGAAATTAACTGAGGCAGCCACAGAACAGTGATGCAGTAAGGCCGTGTGGCAAAACTCACCAGCCGTGTAGAGCACCTTCGCCTTCTCAATCTCCAGCTCAGGACCCCACTTCTCTCCCACAGAGCCCTGCAGGGACAACCCCTTAAAGAGCTGCACCAGGTCCTGCCCGCTGGCACTGCCCCCGAAGGGCGCCTCGCTGCACTGCGCCAGCAGCCTGGCGGCCAGGGCGATGTTCCCTTGTTTGCGGGCGAACTTCACGGCAGTCAGACACAGCTCCATGAGGTGGGAGTCAACGGGAACGGAGGAGCCTGCAAAAACAAGAAAATCAAGCGCATTGGTTCAAGGACGGAAATGACCACATTTCAATAATTCCATTTTGAAGAGGAAGAAAACTTAATGAAGGACACACCTTTCAGCTTCGCGGACAGCTGCCTCTGGAAAGCTGTGTACCTCAGGGCATGGAGCCAGGGCTGGACATCCTGCTGTTTACAGGAGTACAGGGCCTGGCTGTACAGAGGGATCAGGCAGTCCTGCACGGTGTAAAACAAATCCAACAAGCGGGGATGAATCAGTCTCTTGATATCGAGGATAAAAGAGAACGGTAAAAGCATGCGAGATCCCTCCTGACAATTCAGTTTCTCTGCAAAGAAAAGGGCAGCGAACCTGGACGGAGGAGAAACAACAGCAGCGAGAGGGAGCGGGCTGTACCTCGGAAGAAAACTGGGTAGTGAGGGTGCTCTCCAGAGAGGTGGCGCAGTGCAGCTGCAGGGTGCTCAGCGTGGGCAGGGCACCCGACAGTGTCAGAGTGGACAGCCTCAGGGGCCCCAGAGAGATCCGACCCATCTGCTTCAGGTACCTCACCAAGTTTCTGAAATCAAACCACCGGCGTGGTCAGCCCGAGAGACGCCTCCTGAAGCAGAAGCACTCCTCTTCCCTTTGAAATCAAAAGGGTCACTCACTCGGACACAGGCGCGGCTTTCTGGTCCTGCTCATTGTGATTGACGGTAGTGACCACACCCAGAGCGCTCCTCAACAGCTGGACCTCAATTGCCTTCTGCAGCTCGGTAGGATCTGGACTGAGCATGCCCGGTAGGAGCCTCTTTAGGTCTGGAGAGCACAAGCAGAACATTGTGGAATATATAGACAATCCTGAATCAGCCATTTACTGCAGAAGACAAGTGGTGTGTGCAACTAATAAACCGATGATGAAACCATATCATGGCAAAAACTGCTCCATCTTGTATGGCAAGACCACACCTATAAGGGATCTCTATTTTATTACAAATCAATACAAGCCAGTCATCTTTTTCCCCACATTCATTTTCTTTGCTTAACCCACTTAGGTTACCTATGCAGAAGGGGTAGACAAAGCTGCTCAACTTACATCAGATTATTATTGGCTTAACAGGGACAATTTAACAGCTTCTCTCATGCTGCTGCTTTGCAGAGATTTAGAAAACCTGCAGGCACACTAGCCCCCCAGAACTAGGCAACAGAGCATGGTGTAACAGTGCGGGCCTATCCTGGCGTACCTAGCTTGTCTCGGGAGGAAGAGGAGGAGGAATTGAGCAGTCCTATGTCCTCTCCAGGCAGGAGCTCCAGCTGCTCACAACACTCGGCAAAATCTCCTGACTCAAAGCTGCTCAGAGCCCTGGAACAGAGACAAACAGGGCAGCAAAAATGAATAAACTGGAAGATAAGACGCAGATCAAAGTTTTTCTTACTTTTTACCCCAGGTAAATTAAAACGGTACAAGATGGGACCTTGAACTGACTGACGTTTCTGTTACAACAGACCTGATGTAGTTGAAGTCTGTCTTGAGGTGGATGGTGGAGCCGTTTGCGGTCTTCTTCAACGCCAGGGTGCTGTTCTGCCACTCCTGAACAGACGTCCAGTCACAGAGCGCTACGTAGCACTCACAGGCCTTGTTGGCCAGGAAGTTGAGCACCTCAGGTGAGCAGTCGCTGGGTTTAAGCAGCACGGTCTTCCGGCCATCTCCTGGAAGACAAGGACAGGTGATCAGCACCTCTCACTGCACACCGTTCGCCTGTTGGGGCTGCTCCTACGGCAAGTCTCAAGTATCACAATCTTGTTTGTGCAGAAGACCTCCACAAAGCGAAAAAAGCTTTAAAGCTCTGTAATTGATAAGTACAGTGAACCTCAGATTTAGGCAAAGAGGTTTGGCACTCACCATTGCCTGTGTGCTTTGGGCTGGCACTATTGCCACTGTTGGTGCTGGCTACCTTCAGCAGGGACTTGTCAAAGCCTTTGATAGAGCAGTCCACTCCAGTGATGGCGCACAGTTGTTCTTGATACTCCACAGCAGCCTTCTCGAACCTGAAGCAGGAGGAGAAAAGACCCGCTTTACCCCTGGTGCGCCAAAAACATACTAAAGAATAAAACGTTCAGACCAAGACAACTTTCAAGTTACATGAACACAATTCTGTAAAAAGCAATCACTGGAAAAGACTTCTTATATTTTATAAACAAAGCCACCAAACTCTGCAGAATTAAAAACTCAAGGACAGAGGGAGTGGCTCTGAATTCCCTTTGTATTCAGGATTACGAGTTGAGTGCTGAGTGCTCTGTCTCTGGATAAAGATGCACTTACTTCCCCTCAGCCTGTAAGGCCACAGAGCCCACCCAGCTCAAGCTCTTTCCTGCGCTGGCAGAGCTCCAGGCTGCCAGTCCTTGGATGGCCTCTGGACAGCGCAGGTCACAGAGAGCCTCCACCAGCACCATGATGGGCACCTCCATTTCAGAGCCCTGAAAGACACCAAGCAGAACAGTCCCATGAGCCCAGCATGACAAAGAACCAATACTCAGGTCATCGTTAAACACTAAGGACTGTGGATGTACCTTTGAGTCCAATCTTCTGAGAAACAGCAACACAAGATCATTTTTAACTTGTATTCTCACTACCTGTAGAGATGGATGTTTCCCTTCATACATTACGGAGTAGAAAGACAAGATAAAGATGAGAAGTGGCCACTCTCTATAAGTCTTGCTTGTTTGGTTGCTACTGGCTTACAGATCTGATCTCCAGTAGTTTTGCCTTAACTGGTCAACGTTATCTTAATGTGTGTGAACTACAAAAAATGAGATTATAAATACAACAACATTCACTTCATAATTGTACCCGATTCGAAAACTCACTTACAGTGCAGGGAATTAAATAGACCATGTTTCCAAGGCTTACACAGTATAGTTTATCATACAATTTCAGAATATATATATGCAACATGTAAAAAACAGATCTATGCAAAGAATGATAAGGCAGTAATAATGTAGATAGTCACCGGAGCACCACTGTTCCTCATTTCTGTGAGCAGGTCGAACCCGTGCCTCACAGTGACCGCTGGCTGGCCCGATAGCAGTCCCACCCGCATCAGCGCCATTCGGATTCGAGTCAGCCAGTCCTGGCATGTCTGCCGGTTTGTGTAGAAAAAAGTCCGGATGCCCTGATCAAAAAAGCCACAAGAAAAACTGTAAGATGACCCAGAGAAAGAAGAAATCTCTGACCCGCAAAACTTGTGCTCTAATCGCCTTGTAGATATTAACGAAGAACAATTATTGAGCCAGTAAATCTAACAAATCTTTGCAGCACTCCAACCAAATTAAACAAGAACACATGCGAGACATCTTACAAGAGAGACCACACCCCCTACCACAGGAGGACCAACCTTAGGTGGCGCTGTGAGTGCGTTGGCACAGCCCTCGTAGGCATTGTACATGAGCTTCTCCAAGTTCTCCAGGAACTGGAGCAGCAAGGCGAGCCGCAGCTGGTTGCTGTGGTGCCCCTCATCACTCTCTCCACCACTCCAGTTATTCATCTCCTGCTCCGGGTTCAGGCTGTGAGCCGCCAGGCTGCGGATCATCCCTAGGGGTAAACACAGCTCTGTAGGGCTGGACCAGGATGGGCAGCTACGTCACATCAGGTGCAGAAAACATTTTGGGCGTGCTTGTGGCAGAACAGGGTTAAAACATCTTGACTTCTGGCCTTCTTTCAAGGCACAAGTCTCAAACTCAATCCTTGCAGGAAGCATCTTCCTTTATTTGCGTTCTACCTGAGCTCAGTTACGGGACCTTTAACTTAAATTTTCAAAACCTAAAACCTTATTGAAACTAATATTTCTGAAAAGGCTTCAAGTTGTTTGATAGGCAAGTGCACCTTTAGGGAAGCAAATGTCTTGACTTATGCGAGAAAAATCCTACTGGTATAACTAAGAAAATAAATCGCGTTAACTGTAAAAAGAAGGCAAAGAGCTATCAGGAATGGATTCTGAGCTCTGTTTCAAGTTTTTACACAATCGGTTTCGAAGCCTACGTCAAGTGATAAAAGGGAGTCTAGACTACATTTAAGGGCAGTGAAACTGGTGCAGAGAATTACTGATGCCACCGAGGCAGGAGGAAACTGGGTCGTCAGAAGCTGCCCTTACCCTCGATGGTCTGAAAGGTGTCCTGCGCCCGGCCCAGCGGGGTGCGGAGCTTGGACAGGACCGTGAACTGCGCCGCTTCCCAGACTGCCCACTGCCACAGCACGGCCTCCGTCTTCAGCAGGGCTCGGGGCACGGGGGCCGCGTCGCGCTTCTCCAGCCGCTGGCAGCTGTGGAACAGCCTCTCCAGCCAGGGCTCCTTCCTGTGGGCACACGCACACGGACCGGCTCAGGAAAACCGCCATTTTTACGATGCTGCCAACGGGAAGCGATTTCACTTGTCCGGCAGGCTTCATACAAAAGTTTCCCAACCCAAGAGAATGTAAACCGCAGTAAGGAAACATTTTATTCTACAGCACCACAAACACTGCAATTAAACACACGGAAAACAATAAACATTCGCCCTTCTGCCAGGGTCTTGACTTGACTAACTGATAAAATAAAAAAAAAACGTATTCTCATCTACTCAGTAATTAATACTTTCACTGTGATCTCCCCAGTGGTTAAAAGTCCATTTAACCTGCACACAGCCTCCAATCTTTGACATCAGACTCCTACTCACCCCCCGCGGTGCACAGTCCCATACAAGATGAAGCTGATGAGGTCAGAGAAGTCCTGTGGGTGGAAGGTGTTGCTGGGAGCCTTGCTCATGTGTCCACGGATGGCCAGAGAAATCTCCTGAATCTCAGTGTGTCCACGGTTACTGCAAATTGAAAGATCAGCGTGTTAAGCTCAGAGCAGAGATGATGATGATGATGATGCTGTGGTATATACAAGAAACACAGATACACACTTTTCCAAAAAGGAAAGATCAGTGTCACTCAGTCCTGGGCAAGGAGAGCCACAAGAGCTTCTTGTTTCTGTGCCATCAGAGCTCTTTCCTGAATGAATTACTGAATTGTATCTATATTACCAATTTGGAGCAGCAGTTTGGGCTCTTGACTCCAGATCAGAGAGTCAGGGGTTCAGATCCTGAGTGGAATGCTCCTCTTTTATCCTAGACCAAGGTACTTCAATCCAGCAGATTTCTCTATCAAGTACCTTGCAGTATTAATGGGCACTCTCCCGGTCGTCATTGCAAATGAGAATTGGTTCTCAATTAACTCACCTTGATAAACAAAAGATTTTTTAAAAATGTAAAAAAATCATAGAAGATGTAGTTTGGAACAGTCAACAATTTGCTAATGTAAACTCCTAGGAGCACAAATTAAAGTTTCAGCATAGTGGAAAATAAGTCTTCTATATCTTTTATAAGCAAAGAACATTGGTATACCACTTTTTGTGATGTTTTAAATTTATTTACTGTACGTAGCGGATAGAGCATCATACACCTGCAGAGAAATATCAGCACATATTTAGACATCCAGGCAGAACAAGTCCAAAACTAAATGCAGGTGTAAACACGCCTAATCTGAAACACCTGCAAAGGTCTAACTTCTCCAAAACCAGGGAAGAGGATCATCGTTTCAAACACAAAGTATAAAAGCTGTATGTTTAGGTAATGCTTCATATTTTTATAAGTTACAAGTTCAACACATTTCTTTAAGGTTTTAACTGGAAGGAAAAGCTAAATGCACACACAAAGACACCAGAGTGAAACTCACCTCAGGGCGATGTCCAAGGGGATGGTCTTCAGCAGCTTCCCGAAAGCCTGCCTGACACGCACGGTAGAGTGTACCAGTTGAACTCTGCACACATCCACACACCTGTAAAATCAAGCAACAGCTCGTCACTCTGGGAGGGAGGGAACTTAAAGAGGAAAGCTAAGATACAGACAGCACAGGTCTCGCAAGAAACCACAGACAAAAACTAGTAGCAAAAAACTGTCACTCTGTCACATTCTCCTCATTTGAACAAAATTATGCATCAGGTGCATGCATGAAAGCATTCTGAAACGGGGCAAACTGAAAGTAGCGTCTGCCCTACCTTTGCAGGAGATCTGCGGGGAGGGATGAGGAGAGCACCTGCAGACCGATGCAGGTCTGGAGGCAGACAGAGGGATCTTCATTCAGGGCTAAGAAACAGATGGAAAAGTCCACGTCATCATGATTCAAGCAGGAAACACAAAGCCAAAGTTACAAAACTGCTTCTAAAATTACCTTAAGAAAATTTCCTATTAATCAAAATGCTAAAAAAAAAAAAACACTAGACTCTTATAACCTTTAATATTTTATTAGGTAATATGGAAATTATGTATACCTATTTTTTATAATTCTGCCCCATGGAACCATGCAGAGTTATATGTACACAATCCTGCATATTTCCTCCAGAGAATCTAAATTTGAAGAAGAAGCACTTGTGTATTATGATATTACTTGATACTGTTCAATCATAATAAGAATCATACACATACAATACCATCAAAGTACAAGGCTAAAAAACAAGCACATGGCAAGGGAGGATGCCAGTTGCCCTCCTCACCGTTGGCCAGCAGGCCTTTGCAGAACTTGTGGAACGATGGAAGGGAGAAGAGGGGAGAGTAGGTGTCCGATTTCTTCATCACCAGAGCGATCTCAACAGCCCAGGTAAGCAGGATCTTCCTACAAGGCATTAAAGACACTGCCTTTAGTCCCTCCGGTATAGTCCCGTCACCAAATTTCATCCTCAAAGCCCAGGATTAAACTCAAAATCACATACTTTTGGCAAAAAGCACCTCATGTTCCTTGCATATGTCTCTAGGAGAACAGTGTGAACTAATTTTGTAGCTTTGATGTCAAAAGGAAGCTTATCGATTGAATGTGACAACACCAAACGTCTGCATGTGAGCCCTTGGTCACTTAATCATTCATTACTTTAACCTTTCCGTTTTACAAATAATCTTGGAACGAATTTCCATACTCATCAGTGGATTCACTTGATCCAATCAAGTGGCTGATTGTACTGAAATGCTCGACAACGAACGGGGCAATACAGCTCAAGTCATTAACTACAACTACCGTAACTCGGATAAGACATGCTGTACCGGGCTTCGGGGTAGAGGTGCTCCTTGTTCAGGAGCATCCCCAGCAAGTTGAGGAGGGTGCTGAAGTGTTTCTTGGTTGCCGTAGTGACAGTGCTGATAACAGCCCCGTCAAACAGGGACGGGGAGGATGAGCTCAGGCTGCTGGAGATGAAGTGATCATGCCTGCAGGAGCAACAGGAGGAAACTGTGAATGCAACACCAAAATCACAGGCATATCATTCAGTGAACCCACAGACACACACCCTCACTATTATTTCTGTATCCACAAAGAACATGTGGTTTGAGGGGAATGCATTTACTCACTGCAAAGAAAAACAAACATTTCAGGTGCTTTTACACAAAACCTCAAAAACTCAAAAGAAAGGAAGCCAAAACCTTCAAGGGAATTGCAAGAAAACAACCCCAAAGGAAAACCCTCCTCTCTACCTCACACCAGTATGTGGGGCTCCCCCGGGGCCTTACCTGGTACAGTGAGAGTACAGGGTGTAGAGCACAGCGTACTGAATGGCAGGGTGATGCACCGCCAGCTGGGAGTGGACCACCACCAGGTTCTGACTGAGCAGGGCGAACACGGTTGGAGACAGGGCCCACATCTGCACAAGGCACAATCAATGCATGATGAAGCAACCGCACAACAGCCAGCAATACCACACACAGAACAAACCGATGGGAGAAGAGAAATTGTAACTGCATCAGGTTTTGAATGTTTTTTTTAGCCATCCCAAAAAACAATGCATTTTCACCTCGGCAATGGAAACTTAATCCGCAAAATACAGTGATCCAAACATTAACTGGTCACCGGCATTTATGATCTGAAGCTATAATGGAAAGAAAAGGTTGATGTCAATCAATTCTACTTTGGAAGGTGTGAGAATTGTACTGCAGATCTCCTTGTGCAGATGCTTAAATCTTTTAACATTATTACCTTGTATGGTGATAAAAAATGAAGTGTCTACACTTTTTTTTCCCTGCAAAAAAAAAAGGAAAAAGGAGGTATACTATTCAGCGGCAAGAGGTCTCAGACTGGTCTGTCTGGTAATGAATCTGTGATTCTCACAGTTACTCAGGCAAACCCATCAAACCGGTATAATTTAAAATAAAGGGACACATAACCTTTTCCAAATAATGTCTTAGTCAAGTCCAGAACACCATCAAAGGGAGTACATCTAAAGCCGTCACCCAAAGCATGGGATTATGTACTATAGCATACAATTTTCATGCCTTCCTCCTTTAATCATTTACCACATTATAAATACTAAATGCCTTTCAAACTGAATAATGCCTGCTGTCAAAAACAAATCAGCAACTCCCTCACCCCAATAAGAGAGTTCTTCGTGTTGCCAATGGTAGTGAGGGCACTGAGGTTGAAGATGACAATGAACTCTGCCCTCTCTGGCAGCAGCTGTATGTGAGCAAAGGCGTTGTGCTGTATGTGGGGGCAGGCAGGGGGCAGGCCCAGCAGTCCGAGCAGGCTGTTCAGGGCACAGCCCATCTCCCCCAGCACCAGCTTGTAGGCCGCCTCCAGGATGGGTATGTTCTTTAGACTCAGGACAGCTTGGTACACAGCATGTGCTGCAGCGATCACCTGTCGGAAAACGGACAGAATTAGGAGAGATGGAGACCCATCTGATCTACAGAGGTCCAGCATCAGCTTCTCATGCGAGTGCTAGGAGAACACAACTGAGTGGTTATCCATCTGACTACAGCAACAACACTTCAGAGGTGTTGAGCAACACAACAGGCTTTCAAGGAGAGGTACAACAAGCCACATAAATCCCATGCTGAGTAGCGTCTTGATCAGAAAGCAGAGGAACTGTTCTGTCTTCCAAAGTCTTTCACACCACCTTCGTGCCTCCTCCGTGCGCACACTACACTTCTGTCATCACCAGTGTGGAATCCATACCAATAAAACATGACAGTCTTCTGCTCAGTAGAATAGCAGCCAGTATGTCACCAGATTTTCACTCTGTTCTGTATACGCCCTCTGAAGAACTCGCCATTTGAAGTCAAGCTACAACTGTTCTCGGCAAGTGGACTTTCCTTTCCAGCGTGGCTCCTTACCACCACCAGCTCATTGTTTACCATTTACCTAGCACACCTGTAGCAAACGGTCTGCTATACTATGCACACCTAAAGCCAGCCATAGTCTCTTTGCTATGAGAGCAACACGTACCTCTCGATCTCTGTGGAAGCGCAGCTCCAGTAGCTGTGAATCTGGCGCCAGCAGCTTCTCTACGAATGACGCAGGCAGTTTGGTATTAATCTGATCGATGATCTGAAAGAGTCCAGCAGAGGGGACCGATGACAACCTAATAGCACAGAAGGTACTGTAACCGAGAAGAGAGGTTTATCTAAAAAACAACTTGCTTTGCAAAATTCAGTGGGGAAAAAAAAACCCAGATGAGAACATTTGTGTTGCTAATTCCCAGGTAAAATTCTTTGGACCACGGAAATAATCCCCACTTGGGGGATGGGGGCAACACCTCAGCTCTGCAGACAGAAGCCCACCTGTTTTCAGCAGCCCCAGTCTAGGTCTCTGGGCCCCTTACCAGTGTCAGGAGGTTGAGCACGGCGATGCAGTACTCCGGCCCGCAGGCCCGGCAGCTGTCGAGCTGGCCGAGGCCGTACGAGATGACCGCGTCCGCCAGCTGGCTCGTGCCGGGGTCCATGCTCACCAGCAGCACGCACACACACTCGTTGGCCGCCGTCAGGACCGCCTCCGAGAAGAACACCTGCTTGGCCGTGGTGACGCAGGCCAGGACCCGGTTGAGCACCTGGAACAACACGCCGCAAAGCCGTTCGCACAAAGGACTTCGCTGCCGTCTCCCCCCCCCCAAGCCCAGGCCAAATCCGTTAAAACAACAACGTTCGCGTTTACCCACTGAACCTCGAGATGTTCGGTCTCCCACATCTCTTACAAATCCCCAGAACGCACGAAAGGAAGAACTCCGACGAAGCGAGCGCGCCCTTACGTCGGTCACGTATGCCTCCGTAATGGGCGGGCCGCGGATGGGACTGAACCTCTCTCCGATGCTGCGCACCACCGTGCTGAACACGCGCAGCAGGGCGGCCAGCTTGGGCAGCGACACCGAGGGCGGGGGCACGTCCTCATCCACCGTCTCGCCTGAAGCCACGTGGCTCAGGTCCTGCCAACGGGGAAAAAAGCTGAAGAGTCACTCCCGCTGCGGCAGAGGCCTCCGTTTTTGATCACGTGCAGTCAAGTCGTTCGAGACGGAGGAAACTAGGGGACGACTCCCCCGGATTCTTGTACAACAGTCAACTTCTGATAAAAACAGCACTGGTTAGCAGGATATTCAAGGACTGGCTGAGACTTGCTGGGTAATGACTAGCCAAGCTGGTGTTCCTCTACCGGATGAGTACAGAATTGTACAGGAAGTAGAATTTAAAAAGTGAACAAAATCTGGGATTGGCTGTAAGTGGGAAAGCAAAGAAGATGGGGCTGTCCAGAAACTTAAGACATCCCTTTTAACATTAAAACTAGGATGTCTATAGAATGTGTTATTTACTTGCAAATTTCATCTCTCGTTTAGCCTCGCTAAAAACAGAAATGTACACATCTTCTATTGCTAGTCAAAGCTACAACTAAACACCTTTTGAACACAGGTAACTAAGAATTTAAAATATCTTCTCATAATACAAATGCAATCTGTTACAGCTTCACATATCTGAAAGGAGTCTGTAACTATAACCCTGATGGTTAAGAAAGTGAACACTGAAAGTGAACCCACCAAAGCAGAGATGGATATTCAAAACTCTGTTGTGACAGAGGGGGTGATAATGCTGGTGATGTTACCTCTGCATAGGCCTCCATGTCTTCAAGAAACTGCCCCAGCAAGGTAGTGGAGAACCCAAGATCTGCCACCCAGAACTGCTCCAAGCTCTGTAGCCAGCCTACAGATCCACACAACACAGAAACACACAGGTTCAAGGATGGCCATCACTGGCACTCAGCTTTGAGATTAAAAGTTTTGTTCAGAGTCTCTCCTTACCGGACACCTGCTGAGTAAGTGATGTTTTCTGTGTGTGATCAATGTGCCACCCTACAAGGATATCCACAGTATCCTACAAGAGAATCAGTTACAAGATCCATGACTTTTAACCACCTGAAACCCATACAGTTGTTGACTACACAATATCGATGCTAGCTCTTTTATGAATCAAGAAGTAATCAACACGGGACAGAGATGGGTCAGGCAACGCAGTAACTACTCGCACTGTAGGGCAAAGAAGAGGCGAAAGCTTAAATGCTTAAAGCATTTTCATTAAAAAGAAAATGAAAAATATACACAGTAGTATGAACTAAAGCATTCTGTAAAACAAGCCGACATCAAGAAATACTTGTCTTATAGATTGCTATATAATGGCAGGTCTATCTTCCTTTGAACTCAATTCACATGGAAAACCCAAGGAACACTTGAACGAATCCAAGCTAACACCTACACGGTCGAGTCTCACGGGATTAAAAATGAATGAACAATTTGCACGGATCCGACATCTACTAATGCTGGTACAAATTTCAACACCACTTCTTAACACAGTGCTCTGCAGTCCACCGCAGAGATCAAGCTCGAGGTAAAAGGAAACTGATGATAAACAACGCTTACCCGGAAGTTGGTGCTGAAAATGTGTGGGTAGCAGCGAGCCACCAAGAGTATGCATTTTACACTCTGACACAGCAGTTCAGGGGTGTCCAGATTCTCCAGAATAGACTGTAAGCTGCTCATTACCAGCTGTAGAAAAGGAGCAGAGACTTATTGCAATCATCTATAAGGAGGTAAAAAAAATGTTTGCATGAAAAGCTAATTTACTCAGACATGCGACAAGTTTGCTTATGACCGAAACATTTACAGGATGATGATGGCTTCACAGTGTACACCATGAACGCTCATCTCTTCTTTTGACGGCAGTCTTGTGTTATATAGGAATAATCCACCACTTTTGTTAACCTGCACCCAGAATATAATTTTATACTATGGAAAAGGGTTAGAAGTGGTGATTACAGCAATTTGAGTTACAGCAACCAGATGCTTTCACATCTTTCCCCTGAAAATACTCCCAATGCTCACACGGACAACAGCCAACTATGCAGTAGCATGGTCAAAGGAAAATGTGTGTCCCGAGAAAGTAATTTGCAGAGTATATGGCAGAGAATGTTTTGACAGAGCTGTCCAGTTCATACCTGCATGACTGGGGAAAACGCCTTCTTCTCCCCAACCGTCTCCAGAGCCTTGTATGCAGACACCAGGTACAGCAGCTTGACTTCATCTTTGGTGGAGGAGTTGAATTTCTGAAAAATCCACTTGAATATCTTCTCTGCCTCATAGCTCAAGGAGGCGCACAGCAAGCCCAGACAGCAGGCCGCCTCCTGTCTCAGTTCCTGGAGTAGTTTACTGCTGTAGGAAGCACATGGTAAGGCACTTTTTAGCAGGTTCAATAAGGACAGGTGCAACAACTTGCAACGCAAACTGAAGGTGCAGGACACGATATCCTGTGAACTGGGTGTTGGCAGAAGCACTGGAACCCAGTGACTGTATATCATATTCTATTCAGCAAATTCTTAGACAAGCCTGAAATAAAATAAAAATGAGGTCACCCGTACATCAGGTGAAAGAAGAGGTGCCAAATGAGACCCACTTTCCCCTTTTCCATCTGTTAATATCTACCCAATCTAAGATAGGGGCAAACTTAGAGCTATGCCGTTGCAGAACAGTATCACCACCTGACCTTTCTGCTTTTATCCTACCTTTCATTTAAAACATCGTGTAGCGCAGACAGGATACTTTCCAGCTGCTTCACTAGGACCTAGGGGGACAGAAAAGAAACACTTAATACATCTTCTCCCATCATACAAATAAAGGATTCCCCTGAGCTAATGCAGTGTACTTACAGGTCACCTTTTCTCGTTGCATTCATGCCAATGTCCTTTTCAAAAACCTTTAAATGTAATCAACTACTCAGTTCATTATTCACCACCTGACCGTGTAACCTGAACAGGATACACAGCAGAGACCTGTCTCTAGACAGGTTTTCCTCCTTTGAAATTACCTGCATTTTCACAGTATCCTGCAAGTGAATTAATTCCATTATCAATGAGAACAAAAAACAACTAAACAATATTGGAGCTCATTCTTTTATAAATCAAGATGTCATCAAATGACAAACAAAAGGACTGGACAGAACAGAAACCGTATGGCAAAGAAAGGTCCAGAAGTCAAAGACTCCACATTCAGGACACAGATTAATTCATCACACGATGATTAACCAGAGGGTTCCCTACAGTTGGTCAGAGGAGGTTCTGTAACCACCCAGATATGGACTACGTTTTAACAAGAAAAGCCAATTAATTTTAAATTGAAATAAAAGCCTGCAGATATAAAACCAGATCGAACTTCTTTCACATTGTTCTTCTACAAAACAGCCAGCGAGGGCTCAGAATTGTTCAGATACGATATAAAAATAAAGGCATTGTCTTCCCTGCTGCTCCGAAAAAAGACTTCCGCTGAAATATTTCACCACGAAAACCGAGAACAGATTGCACCGTAAAACAAAGAGCAGTTCGGAAACACCCAGACAATTTGTGCAGAAAAGGTTCTTCTACAAAGCTTCCAAATACAGATGTATCTCTAGAAAGTCCCTCAAGACTCACCACTTTGTTTTCCGAGTGCTGAATAAATTCCTTCAGCTGCCTCATGGTGGCCAGCCTGCGGTCCCTATCGTCTTCCCGGGACACCCGCCGCAGGAGGTTGGCCAGCCGAGATTCATCAGAGTAGGGCAACAGTCGATCTGCGGACAGCCGGGGGGGGGAGGCCATGTGGTGACCAGGACCAGCAGTGCAGAACAAGAGCCCTCTCGAACGCCCGAGCGCGACGGGCAAACAACTGACTACCCAACTAGTGCCCCTCGGAAGGACCCTGCTGGGAAAAACACTATTTCTTCCCAAATAAAGAAAAAACTAACCTTGCCGCAAATGCAAAGAGATTGATCTAAAATACAAATGATTAAAGGGAACTAAAAGTTCAAGGGAACGTTTCCGCAGGTCTTTCCTCCCGGTGGCTGTCAGGGTGTATAACGCTGCCCTAGGCTAGGACTGTTAGCCTTTCATTTGCTCGTCTATGGACAGCATGTTTGCTCCGTTGTAGGTTTTGGACAATCAGCCTGTATAAACCTATGCACATTTTATTGTTTTTTTACAGTGACTATGATCAACACATTTTGCACACACCTACGTATTTATTTTTTATTTATTTTGTTGTCTTTTGTTTTCTAACTATTCTGTTGTCTGTTTTTGCTTGTCTTGGGCTGGACTGCTGTAACGCATCAATTTCCCTACGGGATTAATAAAGTCCTATCCATCCATCTAAAGATAAATGATCGTAAACAAAAAAAGAGCTGCACACACTGAGATATCAGTCTTACTGGGTTTATGTTTTGGAAGAGCTGTGTATCTTACTAAAACAGTGGCAGTTCCACATACCCTGTGATTTCCTCATGTCCTTTGTAGCTAAAGCACGGTTTCCATGCTGAAAACTGGTTAAATCCGCCGTCACATCGTTTCTTCTCAGCTCTTGCCCCAGCGACTTCCGACCAAAAGCACTTTCACCAAGACCTCCGTTAACTTCATATCCACCTGCCCAGGGTAAGAGACAACACTTATCAAATCAGTGAGCAGTGGCTGGCACAGTGGGGGCAAAGCTGCAGCTCACAGGAACAGAACAGAACAGAGTTTGCATTTGGGAAATTCACAACCTGCAAATACCTGCATAAAAACAGAGAAATATATGAATCAAGAGACATCTCAGCTGAAGTTACACTGTGTAGGATATTTCCTGCTTTTTTTTAATTCAAACTTATTTCTAAATATGCTTGAGATGGTAAAGTTGTGGGCGCATTTCTTCAATCCATCCAATGTTACATGAATATTTAATGTATATAAAATGCACAGATAGCTGAACTATACAAAAAAAAAGTTTACTTTGTGCATTAAAAAAGAACCCAAGGTCCAGCTGAATTGAAACACATAAATGTCTTTACTAGAATAGACTCGCATAGCAAAAACTTAGTGCTCAAAGCTGCAGTACAGGTCTTCTCTAAAATATCTAAATGCACATTTACCCATTTGTACACAAATGAATAACACCTGTTAAAGTGCATTGGTTACTCAGAAGGTACAGTAGTGAACTGCAAACAGGAACTGAAAAACAATCACAACTACAAATAAAGTAGAAACATTTTTCCTGAAAGATCTCATACCGACAGTATCATCCATCAGTTGTAACCAGGGCATCTACATTAGCGATAGCTAATTATAAAGATGTTCCTGCATTCGAAAAACACTGACCGTGGGTCCTTTTCGAAAGCAGAGTGCACTTGTATCATGTTCGTAAGTTTTAGCACACTTAGCAAGAAAAACACTGTATGGGTGGTTTTTTTCCCCCGTTTGGCATGGAAAAGATTAAAAGGCAATATGGTACCAGTCTTTCTGCAATGCAACTGCTAGATCCTCTGCTCCAGCCCGGGAGAAATAAAGACAAGATAAACAGCTCCTCTACAAAGCAAGTGTGCTTTTAATCCATTCTGCCGTCCTGGGGCTGAAACAGCACAACTTTCACCTCCCTGCCAGCACTCTTATCAGCTGGGGGCCTGACAGGGACATACCTAAGCAATGACAGGGGTCCCAGTCCCCACAGGAGAGCCCCTCTTTTGCAGTCTGCATTAACAAACGCCGTCGCTTGTTAAAATGTGTGCACATGGCAATGTGTTCCATACCACTGCATTTCTTACTCATTATTTGCCTTTTACCTTGAAACGCTAGATTCACACAGCGCCAAAGATTTACGACTGGGCGACACACAGCGATGCAGCGGGCTCTCACGCATGCAAATATATAACTTTCAAAAATGGTTTTCATATGTTCCAGATGCATTATCCAGTGTTGAGTGGAACCCTTCTCAGTACCAGACTTGCAAAATAAATTCAATTAATTGAAAGGACACCTTTCTATAGAACTAGCTAATGCAAAACAAAACATTTCCAGTAATAGGACTGAATAGAGTAGAAAGAACTGCTACTCCAAGATAATGCTGTCTGACAGCGGTATTGAAGCTCACACTGTACAGACAGGTTGGTGACCTCCACTCCTGACCATGGAACTCAAGCAACAAAGAATATGTCGCCCAACAGAAATAAAAGCATGCAGGAAATACCGAAGAAAATGAACGGCTGAACATGCCTTCAGCTAGAGGTTACATACCACTCATTCTTCATGTAGTATTTTATGGACATAAGGACAATCTTTTTTCTAGCTGTGGGCATTAAAAGCCAAGATCAGCCCCCTCCCACTGATGGCCTGCTAGTCTGGCTGTATTTCTGACCAAGCTGGAGACGGCACAAGACCCCTATTTAATACCGAGAAACAAAATCAAATCTTTCTCGTCCAGCATTTGGAGGAAGTACAGGTGATCATCCTCCTCCTGGCCTGCCAGTTAAACCACACCCTGAAATCACAGGCGGCACCAAAGTCATTACTGATGCAAGTGCCGTCACCTTCTCTTCAGGCTCTTTCTCTTTCTGTTCCTAACGAGTCACAAAGACACAGGAACGGAAACCAAACGACTAGAGAATCAAGCAGGCCTCATTCTGAGCCTCGTTACATGCCTTAGCACATGTGTAAACACACAGGCATGTTTTAAATTATTTGTTTGAACTAGAATCTGGCACCTCCCTTACCCTACTCTTCATTGACTACGGAGAAGCAGCTGGTGGCAGCAGATGCCTTCCACGGTAAACTTCTTTCATTTTAAGAGCGCAAGTTCTAAAAACATAACAATCGGCTCTCCTCTTCTTCTTTTTTTTTAAACGGCCGAACCTCGTGAACAGAAGTCGGCGCCCTCCCTCCAGTCCCAGGTGAGACACTCCTGGCTGGACCCTTGAGCAAGGAGCCTCACTGCACCTGCTCCAGCAAAATACCCATCAGCATAACAGAGTGCGAATAAACACGGTCCTCAATTAGAGAACCTGCCAGATAAACTGAAGAGAAAAGCCCTTTTGTTCAGGTCTGTTGCTCAGCTATAACTTTTGATCAGTCCAATTTAAGACACCACTTGAGCCCTTCGGCCCAGAAAAGGCTGGAGAGACGCAGGACTGGAGGAACTGTGGAGGTGGGGAGTGAGCGGCGTGCTGTATATTAATAACGCGAGGTTTTACCCTCTTCTTCGAGTCCATCAGAGGCTGCGGAGGCTTCATCGCACTGCGGGGGGCTGCCGGGCGCGCCGAAAGGCTGCGAGTCGGGGGGCGCCTCAGGGCCGTGCTCTCTCGGGGCGCCGCGCTTCACACCGTCTGGGCTGGCTGATGCTCCGTCGCCGCTGGAGACAGACAGACGGGCACGCCGGTGAGCACGCGGCTCCGCTGCGGGAGACCTGCCGCCACACCGCGCACCTCCGTCCCTAACTTCATCACCCCCCCCCCCCTGCCCAATCAACGCCCACTGAGGCTCGGGACACTCTCCTCGTCACTCCGCGGGACCACCGAAACTGGAATGACGTTATTCATCGCAGCCCCTTCCGGAGCTGGGGGGGACATTGACGCAGCTCTTGGCGATACAGGCGTAACCAAAGGCACAGGCGGAAAGTACCACAACTTCCGACCCGGTGGGCACACACAAGGTGCAGAAGACCACAGACTGCGGGCGGGAGGGGGAGAGGAGACCGCAGGGGAGGAGGAAAAAGGACAAGGTCCTCCTCTCCCCCCCCTCCCATCACTCAGCAGAAACCCTTTCCGAATTCTCACAGCTACAGTCGATGATCTGCGTCGACAACCCCCAGCGGGACAGATCCGTGTGCCTCCGTGTCAGAAACCCAGTGGGACAGATCCTCACTCCCGTCCAAAACAACTTCCTGCATCCCCTCCCATAACTTCCAGGCGTTTCAGAAAGACCCCGACACCGATTCTACAGCTCTGGAGCACTGGTCAGCCAGCCGGTACCTCCAGACACCTGGGCTGGGCCTCGGAAGCGGACGAAGTGGAGCCAGGGGTTTCAGGCGCGGTTAGCAAGCCCACTTCACAGCTCCGGTGACCTAAAGGCAACGGCGGTGGGGTCATGTCTGATCGCCCCCCGGGCGGATCAACGCAGGTGTGCACGATGCCAGCCCACCTTCAGCGCAGGAGCCACTCCCGCACAGACCGCCTAGCAACCGCGTTTATTAAAAAACCACCCGGCGAATTCTCCCTCCTTTCCGACAGAAACTCGGTGCCAATTAAAAAGCATCTTGAGTCATAACTGTCCGTGGCATTTAAAGCCGTCGTGCAGGGGGTGGAGTGGTGGGGGGAGCGCAGAATAAGTGCTGCGAATTAAAAACGAGCATAGATACAGGGAATAACGGTGAATACCAAGAGGGACACCTGTGATTATCAAGGAGGCGACTTGAGTCAACTCATAACCCAAAAACCAGACCGATCTTCCGTGCCCGTTTAAGCATCGCCTCGGACACAACTTGAGACCACACTAGTCCACGCGTCCCCTCCCGATCCGCACCAGCATCTGAGCCCCTGGCTTCCGAGAAGTTAGGAGGGACGAGTCCAGGATCTCTCCGAGCCCACGGGAGACGCCGAGGGACAAGGTGCCGACCCAGTCCCAGTATAAATCGAGCAGGACCGGACAGCGCTGACTGGCGTTAACAGCACGCACCGCCCCTCCGACCCCGTCCCGCACATGATCTCCCCGCCGGGGTGGGGGAAAAAAAAATAATGAAATGAAAAGGCGTCGGGGAGGGGGGGGGTGTACACACGGCTCGGCGCGCAAGCCCGACCCAGCCCGACCCCGCAGCGGAACCGGAGCCCGGCTCCCACACGCGGGGGCATCTGCCACGACGGACAGAAACCGCTGGACACCCACTTGGCTAAAAAAAAAAAAAAACAGCCCACCTTTTTAAAAACACGCTCCCTCGCGGTTCGTGAATATTTAAGATGCGTGTGTGTCAGGAATGCGGGGGGGGGATCTCTTAGCTTCCTTCGAAGCGTCCCTTTATAAACATTTTCTAAGAGGGTAATCGCATGGTTGTTGTTGTTTTTTTTTTTTCAAAAAAGGAGCGATGCATTTTCAGTATCCGTGTGTAGTAACGGTCTAAGTATTACTATCGGTCCCCCCCTCCCCCCCAAAAAAATCGTTTGTAACTGCAAACATAAACGTGAGACACGGTGAAGGCCGGGCGGATCCCCGCTCTCTCCCAGCGCCGCTGCCCCGGCGGCGCGATACCAACCTGGGCTGCCAGTCATTCCAGTTCCGCTGCAGTTTGTGGGCGCTGCTTAGCCGAGACCCGAGGGCTCTGCGGCTCATTCCCCTCGCGGCGGCTGCATGACCGGCTCGGGACCGGGGCGGCAGGGGCGACGACGGCGACGATGACGACGACAAAACGCGGCGCTAAAAAATTTCAGGCTCGGCGTTCCGTTTATTTGAAGTCCATGAATGAACCATACAGGGGTCCCCCCTCCCCGAACACGAAAGCGCTGGCTGTGAAGTAGTGTGGCTCCCAGTTTCGGCCTTTCTCTCCGCCTCCTTCTCCGCGGCTGCCTGAAAGCGCAGGCCTCACTCGCGGGGACAGCGCCCCCCACCGGCTCCCTCGCAGCTCCCCGCCGCCGCATCGCCTAAGACTACAACTCCCAGCGGCACTCGCGCCGAGAAGCGGAAGTGCCGCCCGTCGCACGTGCTTATTTCTTGCCTGATGGTGTGATCCGATATCGGCTTTTAAAATGATATAGCAAAAAAATAACATTGAAATAAGATCATTTTTACTCCTAATTCAGCGCAGAGTGAGGATACGTGTTTCCGCAGCTCTGTTAAAGTCTACAGAGGACTAGAAATAAAAGTTCGCACCTGATGCTTTAGAAATCCTAAAATCCAGCCAACCAAGTAATAATAATAATAATTGCTTACACTTATGTAGCGCTTTTCTGGACACTCCACTCAAAGCGCTTTACAGGTAATGGGGACTCCCCTCCACCACCACCAATGTGCAGCATCCACCTGTGCTTGAACAAGTGCTTGAACAAACATTTTTAGACCGTAAAATAATGAACAGCTTTCTTGGCAAGGGAGGTGCAGTGTCAATCTTTTTGGATCAAATGCCTTAATATACAGTGAGCGACAAATATACATCACCTACAATTGCAACCATTTCACAGAGTTATGATGAGAACGATGTGCCTGTTATTGCAGGTGCGGTGACATTTTATCGAATGGACGCGACACAGGTGATGTGATTATGCTGATGAACATCTGTCATCAGCAGGGTTGATGAACGGGGGGTCTACTCTGAAAGTCACAGCCCGATTCTGTGATTGGCCGTTGTGAGCAGCAATATAAGCCCTCAGTCTGTGTTTCTGGCTTTGCGCTTGTTTGCAGAAGCGCTCTTGTCTAGAGCCTGGAGGAGCTGACTGATATTAAATTAAGGAAAAACAGCCCTCCTCGCGTTTAACCCCTGGGGTGTTTGTTCCTCAGCCCTCCTCGATCACGTATTGGCGTGAAAACCTCCCTATGAAGGAAAAAAAAAATCCTTCCTATGAATAAACAGATAAACCTTATGGAGGAACCCTCTGACACAATCCATTTCGTCTTGCCATCTCTCTCCCGGCGCCTTTAGAGATGCTGTTGCTTAGCAACCGGCGGGGGCGTGCGGCAGGTGCGTGTGCGGAGGAGCCGGGAGCGCGGAGGCGCGGGAGCGCGGCTTCAGTCCTCCAGCTTAGCAGCAATACGAGACCAGACACTTAGGGTCTCGGCGACATTGCGAGGTGGCCGTCCTCATTCCGTTTTCTACTGCCAGTTTTATATTTGCCGCCCTATAAGCACACGCCTGCCACGCCCGGAGGAGCCGGAGCCTAGAGGTTGCAAGAGCGACTGTCCACTAAAGAGGAGATCCGCCTTACTTTATTTGAAGGATCAGAAAAGCAATACACTTTCACATTCTTGGTATCGTGTTACTGGCTATAAGCTACCGCTCTAGGCAGGGAAAAAATCAGTCAGACTAATAAAACCCCCTTTCTCGTATTGCTCTTGAATGTCCTCTTCCCTGGTGACTGTCCTGCGTGCCCTGTATTTCCCAAGACGTCCACCGGGGAGCAGCAGTGAGCTGAGCAGGGCGCTACGGTGGCGCAGCCAGTCCGAGGGCTGTCCGCGGACCTCCTCTGATTCTCTGCCATTGAATTCTCCGCTCCGACTTACAATTTTTTGTCATATCGGTCTCTCGGGTGAAGGGCATTCTCTTTCAAAGCTCCAGGCCTGCCATTCACCAACGCAGATTGTATTTTTAATATATATTTCTTTAGGATACATATATGGATTGTGATAGCATATGAACATTGGATTACGAAAAAATGTGAAGTTGAACATTTGGTTTCACTACCATTATTATTGTTATTATTATTAGATCAGTGTCCTGTCCAGTGCCCAGTGCCCAGTGCCCAGTGCCCAGTGCCCAGTGCCCAGTGTCAGTGCTGGGGATGAGTGTGTCCAGTATGAGCAGGAGGACAGAGCAGTGTCCTGTCCAGTGCCCAGTGCCAAGTGCCCAGTGCCCAGTGCCCAGTGCTGGGGATGAGTGTGCCCAGTATGAGCAAGGGAAGAAGCCTGCTGGGTTCTCCTGATCCTGCTCGTCCACACAACGCCCACCTCCACCCCCCTCCCTCACTGCTCCGGAGCAGCCTAGCGCCATGACATCACCCCATCGCTAGGCAACACTGGACCATAATAAACAGCAGAGCAGGAAGGAGGCTGTGTGACAGGGGTGTCTGTGGAGAGGGCCTGCACCACGTCATGGCTGCAGGCTCAGGCAGGACACCGCGCAGGCGACACACAGACAGGCCCATGATTGTAATGATACAGCCAATAAAAACACGGAAGAAAGTTTTGATTTCTGTGAAGGCTGACATAGTTGTGACGCACGGCCTTACAACCAGCCAGATGTGTGGTTTGCTGGTTTGAAGACATCGGAGGTACCTTAACCTGGACTGCATGAAGCAGTGATGAGAAAGGCTTACCATCTGAATTCACCTTCAAACTGGTCTGCTGCTTTTTGCTTGAGCAGGCAGCTGATCTCAGGAGGTGGGACAGCAGAAGAAAGCAGAGTGCTGTTGTTGTAGTTATGAGAGGCTAGCCCAGGTCCCGAAAGGAACACAATTCACAGATAATCACTGCGATCTGTTTCGGAAAGTCTGGAATATCGAAAAGGAAACACAATTAGCTGTGTTCGACAAATAGCAAACAATTTACTTGGCTATTTGTGCGCTTCAGTTCCGCCTTTTCAATGAAATACTCATTAAATGTTAATTTGTAGCTATCGCTTGGCAAAGCCCTCCTCTAATAATCACACAAGCAGCTGTTTAATTAGAAAACAGCAGCAAGCTGGTGATGCTCATCAACACAGATGTTCATTAAATCCTCATGCAAAGTGACATTCTGGCGATCCTGTTGGTTTAGTGAAAAGCTCAGTTGTGCAGTCGGGGAGACCTTCTCTTTTCTGTGGCAGACCAGTATAGAAATGGCCCAGACTAGTGCAGACCGGTACTGCTGTTTATGAGGAGAACAAATATTGCTAAAAGATGGTGACAAATCTGCATCTCTATGTCTGTCCATCTGAGGGCTGCTTTTCTGTCTATATACAGTACATGAGCAGATTTTCATTGGGTAGATATGTAAATTGCCCAATTAGTTTTTCTAAGCCCTTGTGGACTAAAATTCTCAGCTGGCTGATTGCAGTGTTTTGATACTGTGGTCTCTGCGTTACTCCACAAAGAAAATGCATGTTGCTAAGACCTCTGGGCCAAGAGCCGAAGTACACAAAGTCAAAGCCCTGCAGAACACAAGGAGATTGTTCCTGCTGCTGGCCAGGGTTGAAAAAGAGGAGGCTGGACTGACGAGCAGAGATCAGGTCACACAGTCGCAGATGACACACGCTGATCGGGCTGTCTACAAGCGAGGGCGTCATTATTATATTTAGACTCCACAAGATATGAATTATCTCGTCTATTTGACAGATGTTTGCTAATCTATCTCAGTGTGGGAGAGAAAGCAGGCACTTATCCTACGCTGAGCAATTCAGTCTCACAACCTGTCTTGGGCTCAGGGAGGAAGCTTTATTACAGAGCAGGCAGACGGAGGAGGGAGCCAGATGGACTTGGATTTCGTCGTCTTTCGGAACCTCTTGACACCAAAGGCAGGAGCTAATCTTCAGCAGGCCAGAGAGGCTCTTGCTCAGAGTAGGTCAACATGGCATTTACAGAACTCACACAGCACATGGCCGAACGCTGTGTGCAGAGTGTGGGCAGGACAGGTCTGTGAGTGTCATCAGGTACAGGTAGTTGAGCACCCAAGCTATCTTTTCATTTGTTTGTTTATTTTCCTGAAACAACAGCTGTAAATGCTCTGATTTCCCATCTTTTCCTCTGCACAGGAACAGGCACCTCTCCAGTCCTGAGCACAGCTCGTCTAAGTTCTTAAATCGTTCGCACATGTGAAGTTTGACCCTAATGCACTGGAAAAGGATAAGCAGCTGCCAGAAAATGTGATCCTCAGATCAATAAGCCGCTGGCAGCCAAATTGTCCATTTAGACGGGCCAAAAGGCTTCCTCTCACTTGTAATCTATGTGATCTTGGATTTCGTCGTCTTTCGGAACCTCTTGACACCAAAGGCAGGAGCTAATCTTCAGCAGGCCAGAGAGGATAGTATCCATGCTAGTCCCAAGCCCTTCAACATCCTTCTTCTCCTCAACACCTCCAGACATTTTCCTGCTTGCTCATTTTCTTGCCTGTTCGTAAATCTGTTTTTCAGAATGAACAATGAAACACACTCCAGAGGACGCACGCGTAAACGTTGTGAAATTGCATGTAAAAGAATGGCAGGAGTCTGGGGGCAAGCGACCAAGCAGTGTCGTTGAAGCCCACACACTGGCTTGGATCAACAGAACCAGCCCGGCATGCAGCCCGTTAGTATTTACGGTGGTGTGTTCCCTTACTCTGCTGCCCTGGGGTTCTGGCACCAGACAGGTGACCCCTGACCTCTGACCCCTGCTCCACGAAGGTGGCCCTGGGGCCAGGCTGCAAGGCAGCTCCTCCTCCGTTAGTGTCTCTTTCTGATCCTTTACTCGGGACAGGGTTTGGTGTGGGGGACACTGAGAAAGCGGCAGTGGGAGAAGTAGGGCCCAGCCAGCTCATACCTCCTCAGTGTTAGCCGAGCAGACGGGGTGCACAGGGGTGTCACAGTGCGGCTCTCAGCTGTCACACCTTACCTGACTAAAGAGTGAAGTTTAGGTCCTGTAGCCTCAGCCTGCACACTAAAAAAAGCTCCCCGCCACAATACATGTTTGATGTATTTTTTTATTAAAGATCTGTTCTATACAGTAGATGTAACAATTAAAAAGCACAGGAGAACACTCTACAGGACAGCGGACATGAGAAGAAAAGGGGATGCCCGAGGGGGGTGAGATGTGAGAGTGAGGGAGGAGTGAACCTGAGACTGCTGGGACAGTCGCTCTCAGTGCTGCCAGCATCACAACCCCCCCCCCAGTCCCCCCCCTCCTGGAGTCAGCCCAGGGGAGAGGTGGACGCGCTAGCAGCTGGGGTGCTCTGAGAAGCTGGTAGGTGTGTGAATGTGGGAGTGTGTCCGCGTGCGACTGGCCACTCAGCAGGCCTGCATTCCTCAGGACCTGAGGCCAGGGAAGGTCAGGGAGCAGAGCAGCTTCAGGAAGCTGAGAGATTGAGGGAAACAGTGGGAGGTCGGTGTGGAGATAGAGGGAACCGGGAAGACGGCAGTCGGTTTGGGGACAGCTCAGGGGCTGCAGAAAGATTGTCCAGTTCCTTTGATTCAAGGGCTGGGAGGTAGTCTGGGTTACCGGTTAGAGCTGAGAGGTCACATTGTGATACAGAGGAGGTATACGTGCCAAACTGCCAGTGTAACAATTAAGCAAAGGGGTGAAGAGGCAGGTCGGAGCTGAGATCAAAGTCTTATTACTACTCCTGAACACAGAGGGCGGTGTGGAGCCGGCCCCGGCTGTGTTCTCCTCTCCAATTACTTGCTGGCAGCTGCGCAGGGCTGGCTTCAATTAGTTATGATGACATCGCTGGCTCCAGCTTGCTCTGCTCGATTCCAGTGTGTCCCCAGGGGTCCCAGTGCTCTGTCAGGGAAAGACGAGTTTCCGGCATATTGAAGTCTGCCGACTGTGTCATTACCAGCTGAGGAGGGTGGGGAGCTCTTGGGGAACCTGGGGCTCTGAATTGAGTGGACTTTCCACTCTGTAAGTCCTGTAGCTGCAATACCAGAGCTGCCAGACCGCATTACTGACGTTATGGGGGCCTATTGTATACGGGTACATTGAGCACGAAAAAGTAACTGACTAGCCCATGTTTCTGGGCACAAACACCATGGAGCAATTGAAAGAGGGACAGCTGTACACCAGTGGGCCACTCAGGCCATCCCTGGAAGGGATTTGTCACAAACAGCTCTTTTATCATTTCTGTGGTCATCGCTTGCTCACTCCGGCACTTAAGGAGCTGTTTCTAATAAAATCCCGCAAGAGCAGCGGACAGGAAGGCACCCTCATTAAGTGGCTCGGCTCTTCACACAGTGAGGATGCCCTTATATGGAAAACAGCGCGTCTTTCCTGGAGGCTCAGAACTCATTAATAGCTTTCAGAGAAAAATAAAACAAAAATATTTGAAGAGCCTTTAAACATTTAAAGGCGTTAGATATTCTCTGTCTCACAACGTTGAACAACAACAAACAGCATGTGCAAGAAATCAAATCTGTGTTTTCCAAAAACAATACAGCTGTGTTTGGTATTCATTAATTCCTTGACAGTAGTCATGGTGAATCATAGTTGAACTGGTAAAAAGACGCCTGGCTCACCTCTCTTTCCTCTACTGCTCTCTCTCTCTCTTCTTCTCTTCGAACGTTTCCCCCCTTCCCCCCTCTCCTGTTCACTGCCTCCCTCTGCCTCGTCTCCAGTGCTTCTCTTTCCACAGAGGCTGGAGTTGGGGTGAGAAAAGGGGGCCGTCCCTGTCACTCCCCAACAGGTCTCTCCCAGCTCCAGGGATCGAATCCCAGCCTTGGCCTGAGTGGGACGAACTCCGACCCTGCTAGCAGGCAGGACTGGGAAGGGAGTAGCTGAGACTGACACACACACTCACACACACTCGCTGACTCGCTCACTCGCACTGGGACGCCGTGTCTGCAGCCCAGCCCAGCCCAGCAGCGCTCAGTCAGCCACTGCCCTCGCAGCACGATGCTCTGCTGGGACCTGTGCACCACCCTGCTCTTCACAGCACTGCAGGTGAGGGCGTTCCCTTCCACCGACATCAAGATCACGCAAGGTGAGTGGGCGCGCGGCCCGACGGGAGACTGGGCAGGGGGACAGAGAGGAAGCCTGCTCACAGTGGAGGCGCTGGAGCTGACATCTAACTGTTGCCCAGCCAGCTGGAGGTTTACTTCAAATCCGAAGCCGGCTTGTTTCAGAATTGGACTTCTGAGTCGTTGTGATTACTCAGTCCTTGTTCTCCTGGACATTGTGCGCCAGTCGCCCTGAAAGGCAGGAGTTAAACGCTACCTTTTCACACAGGCGTGACATCTCAGGCAAGAGCCAGAGACACATCTGTCTGCAAGCGATTCCGAAAGCAGCCGAGAGAATGCAAGCTCTACATTTGCCAGCGATTTCGTTTGCCAGTGATTTTACTAATGAAGAAGATGAGGTTAGCTTTATTAAAAAAAGAAAAAATCAATTCCCTGTCTGTTGCAAAGGATTTTGACGTGCAAGCCTGCTTTATCTCAGAAAACTCTTAGGGTAAGTACAGGGAAAGAATCTGCAGACGTCAATATGAAATGTAATTTCACAGAGGGATTTGGAAGCACAGCACTATAAAACCTCCTAACTAGGCAGAAGAATGTGACTTCTGTGGGAGCCTGCTCTTCCAGGGACAGAGAGGAACGGCGTGTTTTAGGGTCAGAATGAAAGGGACAGTACTGGAGAGAGGCTGCAATGGAGGGTTTCAGGATGGCTACTAAGATGCCAGTGCATGGGAGGTGATAATGCAGACTGGTGTGTCCAGTGGCCAGATGCAGGCCGGCAGTAACTCCCCTCTGCCCTCGCCCCTCCCCCCAGCTCTGCCCCTGCAGCTGCCCGACCCCAGCCAGCCCATCGCCTGCCCACTCTTCTGGACAGAGTTCGGAGGCCACTGTTACCGGTTCTTCCCTCTCAACCGCTCGTGGGCAGAGGCTGACCTGTACTGCGCGGAGTTCTCCAACGGGCACAAGTCCGCCAAGCTCACCTCCATACACAGGTAACGCAGTGCGGGCGAGCCCCCGCACGAGAGCCGGGCTTCACCACGGACTGGAGCTTTGCTATGCGTTTGCGATGTTCAGTGTGGTGCTGTCCACACAGGATTGCTTTAAAATTGGGTTGGGGTGTATCTGCTCATCTGCCTGACTCCCTGGCTCCTTCGCTGTGTGCTCTGTTCTTGTCCACCCTTGTACACTAGAGTGGGCTGACAAAGGCCTCTCCAGATCCGGGCTCCTCTTCTGGTTTTCATTCAGACCTACACTTGCTTTACTGAGCACGTGAACAAGTCATTTGCTCAATGGCGTGAAAACTGTCTCCTCCATGGTCTGTACAGAAACTCCTGTGGAGGGTTAGAGGGGTTGTGTTTCCTGTGATCTAGCATCGTTTTGTCCACTGAAAAGACCCTTAGATGAGGTTAGAGAGACTCACAGAGCAGCAGAGGGAGCCAGGCCCTGCTGGCTCTGTCCACCCTGTCCACCCTGTCCAGTAGGACACCCCTCGACTGCACTTAGATGTGGACTGAAACGGGCGGCACAATCAGCTGATTTGAAGCAGTTCGGGGATGCAGCTGAATTCTCTGCCTCAGTCTTTCCCAGTCCTTCAGGTTAAATAATTGCCTTCAGTCAGTGGGTAAAAAAACACGCTAATCTGGACCATTTAACTAGACAGTGAGTTCAAAGAAATGAGCTCAGAAGACCTCCTATAACTCCAGAATCAGGCTTAATGACCCCTGTTTTAGGTGAAAATGTGAACTGCACTTGACAAGACGCAGGTTAAAAAAACCCACTTCCCCTAGAGAGCAGCACGGCAAAGGGGATTTTAACATAACAGATGGCCAGTGCCCCTCACTGTCTCCCTCTCTCTCAGCTGGGAGGAGAACGTCTTTGTCTACGACCTGGTCAACAGTCGGATCCCTGGGATTCCAACGGATATCTGGATTGGTCTCCACGACCGCAGGCAGGTGAGCATTTAAACGTCCAATTTTCCATATAAGCCATAAAAACAGGAAGTGTACCCCTCAGAGTCCAGGGGTGCTATTCAGTTTCAGCATTTTAAAAACACAAAACGCCAGACTGAAGGTAAATTGATTACCAAAACAGCTACTGAAGCATTTAGTTTACACACCTCAGTAGCAAGACCTTGGGCTTTTAAATTTAATCAATTCAAGGTTTAGGAGGAAGATAGAGCCCGGTTTGCTGCTTAAAACATATTTTGTGGTTCCTGTCCCGAGCGAGACAACCTGCTCTGTAAATGTCTTTAACGACCCTGGTCCTGAGGCAACAGCGAAAGCAGGGGAGTCATTTGCGGCCCATCCCTGGCGTTCAAGCTCCAGAGGGCCATGCTGTGTGTTTAAAACATTTATCACAGCGCTCATCTTTGCATGTTTTTCTTTAAAAAGAACATACAGTACTGTACATCGGATACATTCAGGGAGATTCAAAACATTCAATGGGGGTTAAATCCAGAGATGTCATTGACTTTGAATGTATCAAAAGTCAAAAAAACAAAATAGCTAAAGCCTGAGCAAAACTAACCAAGAACGCCATTATGATTCTTTGGGAGGAACAAAGTTTCTCCTCATGGTTTCCTAATCATAGGCTGGAAGTTCAGAAAGGAATGTAAGGGGAGAAGATTCCTGTGATCAACCATTTGCTTATACCCGCCTATCATTGGTATTTTAAACGCTAAGCCTCATGTCATCGCGCACAGCTTGCTCCAGCATGAGGTGCACAGAAGTCTGTAGCGGTACTGGCACAGGTCTGACCGCAGGCGCAGCAGGAGGTGGCGCCCCAGTGTCATGCCCCATGTTTCTGCAGGAGGGCACCCTGGAGTGGACCGACGGCACGCCCTACGAGTACAGCTACTGGGACGGGAACCAGCCCGACGACGGGATTCACAGAATTCCTCTGGACGAGGACTGCGTGGAGATCTGGTACCGGCAGAACAGCGGTGAGCCACTCCGGGGACATACAGGGCGGGGACAGGGTTCCACTCAACTCATTCGATCCCTCGGTCGTTCTGGCTGACACTGGGACCCCGAATGACTGATACAGCACCTGCTATTGAGCAGGGAAGAGAATGATCTTGAATACTAATAATAATCATCATCATCATCATCATCCTTTCCATTATGGACATTCACATAGGCAGAGCAGCCTATCTTCCTTGTCTGGTAGTTAGTAAGAAAAGAGATACTGAGCTGTCAGAAGATGACATGTGAGACTTAAACCTATACCCCCTGAACAGACCTATAACCCCTAACCAACACACAGCACCTTAGTCCACTACAGCACTGGGACACACCATAGGCTTCATTTATTCCAAAGGATCCTGATGCACCTTCACATTCAGGATAGGGATCCTTTATCCATCACCGGACTACAGCACGCACCTGGGTGCTAATACTAATACTAATACAAACATTCGTTTTTATTTTGAACCAAAGTCTGAAATTTTCATCCTGACTGAAAACAGAATTGAGGTGGTGGCGGCATCTTTCTTTTCCAATAAAATGCTCTTGCTGTTATCGTTTGTGGCTTTTGCCTGGCAGCCCTGAGATCCTGGAATGACAACAGCTGCGATAAGGCTTTTCCCTTCGTCTGCAAACTCCCCACGCTGGACAGCTAGTCCCGGGGACCCACCCACCTGCCAGCGCAGCGCCTCTCCACCTCCACCTGTGCCGGACCCCCGCCGTGACCCCTCCATCGCCGACTCTGCATCTGGGGGATGACCCCCCCAGCTCCGGCATCCTTGTGCTCCGCTGTGCGTGACAGACTGCTCTGACCAGGACATTACACTTCCCAGAGCTCCCCTCCACCTGGACATTGTTAGCAGCCCCATGACCTATCTCTCAGACCTCGTCAAGAAGCTACAGTACATCATTGTCATTCCTACTACTGTCTTTATCATTGCTTCACATTAGTCTTAGTCCTGATTCTCTGCCTTCAGAGGTTTACAGTGCGTCGCAGGTTTGGTACAGGCACAAGCACGGCTCTCTCTTCCTCATTCGTGCGCTCCCTGGTGCAGACCGGCCTCCGCGGCGCTGGAGAGTTAGGTCAAGAAGATGTGTTTTGTGCAGAAAAAAACAATAAAGGCTCGCTCGCTGGGAAAAAAGCACGGAGGCTGGCGCTGGAGTTCGGGATGCACCTGTGAGTTCCCTGCCCTGTGCTATAGGAACAGAGACGACAGGTCACCCGAGGAGCAGACAGCTCAGTGCTCCCTCACTGCTGTGGCTCAGTTGTTTTACCAACACAAGGGAGCTGCAAATTAAAATATAGTTGAGCTCTCTTACCTATTTTCAGTTTCTTTTATTGTGAATCTTCTCTATTAGCCGAGAGCCTCCCTTTTTTATTTTACTATGCCGGTTACTATGAAATTATTTTTTAACTGCCTTCATCACTCCTTCTGTGTGCAACACAGCTGGCTGCCATTCAGGTTTAAGCAGCTGGATTAGAAAATCTGCTGTCGCCACCATGGCCGCCAAACCCCCCTGGAACAGCACGGCATCTGAGTGTCTCTTTGCCCTGATCGATCAGCTCGGGACCTGGCAGGACAGAGTGTGTGGGGGCAGGGGAGAGAAGCAGGATCAGGGTTGCACGTGGCTAGATGTCCAAACTGAACTGAGCAGAGAGATTAACCTCAATCAGAGCTCTGATCTGAAGGGTCAGTCTCTGGAACGGGGCACATACTGTACACAGGGGGGCTCCAGTGAAAACACAGTCTCTTCAGACCGATGTGCTACAATTCTCCTGGGTCTGAGAGTCTGAGCTTATACTATTTATCAGTCAATGGTGAAAACATGGACAAAGTAATAAATACACAGCATTTTTACCACACTACATCAGATTGTCTGAAACAGGAGCAAAAGTTCAAGATCTAATCTATTTAAATAAAGAGCAAGTCCAAACATACACACAGACACTGTGAGGGGCACATATGCTGATATTCATGGTGCAAGATTTGTGTGGGCTTACATGCTGCTGATTTGATCATTCTGATTGAGCAATCGGAGTTGGAATTTGTGCAAACTCTAATATCTGGCCGTGATTCATCTCTCCAAAGCTGCTGGGGGCTTTCTTAATTGCTCCTTTAGGGAGGGAATTTCTAAGAAAGTGGCTACAGGCCCTTCGACAGGGAAGCCTTTTGATTTTTCCTGCCACTTTTAATGTAAATGCCAAGCACAAATGTCAATACAGATAAAGTAAATTGCAGACATGGTCACTGCAAGGAGCTTTGGACTTGCATTTGGCGACCTGTGGCAGAGAACTCCTGCAGAGGGGTTAATCTGTCCACCTGCAGCTCGCAACTGGAAGGAAATTACACAATTAAGCAAAGAGTTGACGATGCCGTGTCAGAACTCGACTGAGCGCTCACAGAAATTTCCATCCAAATGGAACCTGATGACCCACTAAAGGAGCTCGGAGATTAATTGAGACAGCAGACCAAAAGGTCAGGTTTGAATCCCATTTCTCTTTTTTAAAAAAAAGAAAAAACCTGCAACTCAAAGCAATTAACGGTGTGACGGGCAGCTGTACCCCAGCCACGCACAGCGCGACAGACCCACCCTCAACCGAAAGGCAAGTGGCTCTAGACTGGATTCCAAAGGCACAGGCAGTACGAAATTTCCCCACATTGTGTTAAGACTGGCGGTACCTGACCCAGAATCGCAACACCTTAGAACTCCTTCCCTCCACTCCTGCTACAGGGACAGACTGACATGGGAAAGTACTGGAATGTGAGAAAGAGAATTAAAGAACACAGCCCCTTGAAAAGTCCTGCAGCCCCACACCGCCGAGCCTGGGGTAATAAGTGAGAGATTGATTACAGCTTACATTCGTGTTATCTAATAAAACATCTATTAAAAACACACAGCTTGGAAACCAAGTTTTTTTTAAAAAACTTCCGTGTTTATCTTCTGTTGACAAGGATACAGACACACAAACACACTTGCAGTACTCGTCTAACTCCATTTATGCGTACGTGGCACCAGTATATATGTATTTTTTATTGTCAATAAATACACACTTTAGATAACAGACAATATGCTGTGAAGATGCACAGAAGCCTCTGACCTAGGAACAGACAAGACAAATGATCTAGTCCACTTGCCAGACCTGTAATGGCTGTGACAATCATTCTGAGTGCAATTATAACACAACACAACACAATGAGTCATGTCTCACCTGGGAATTGTTCAGAATGAACAAGTAGGAGAGATCCACAGGTCAGCACAAGCACCCCTAAGCACCACACCTGGAAGAAGACTGCTGCTTTCAGAGTACAAGCTTATAACAGAAACGTCTGGATTTTTGCCTTTGTCTCAATTTCCCCGTCATACAATTGGCATAGAACTGAGAAGGTCTGGATGTTGTCATTTCTTCCACAGCTTAGTGGCACAAAAAGACTGGACTTTAAGCGCTGGTTACTAGCTTCTCCATGGTGTGCTTGCCTTACATCTTTTATCAAGACAGAGAATCAGCACAACACCTGAAAATGGACAAATCCCTAATCAAAGCACGTTTCTAAAGTCCTAACACAAGACACACATACCGCCTTATATGCATTCAATGTGTTCTACAATGTGTTGATGTTGCAAATGTTTGAATGCTCTTGCAGAAGAATGGTATTTCCTGCAGCCCTCCATAGGCAGGGACCCCGATTTCTGCAAGCTCTTTGCGTTTTGCATTTCCAGTGAACCGCGCGACTTGTCCGAGGGGCTCAGAAGCACAGCAGCAGTCTCTCCCTCCCAGGCAGAACTGCGTAACCGTGGCAACAATGGCAGCAGACGCACACAGCCTGCTGAAGTTGTGGACAACAGTGACAAGTGCAGAAGGACACAGTTCGGACTTTCAAGTATTCGCACCCACAACTCCAGAGTAAGGGAGAACTAGTGTCTTATGACACAGACGCCCTCCACGGGCTCCCTGCTATGGGATCCATATGCAGTCCACTCACACTGCTTACAGTAGATGACATTGATGAGGTCACAAGAGCACAGGCTTAATTGTCACCGTTGATGCCATGTGGCGCAGGAGAATAAGACAAGAGAACTTCCCAACACGAAGCCAAGAAATCTCCTTTTCTCCAGATACCAATCACAGCGACGTCACCAGCCGCTGAAAAGTGCCCTGTCCACAACCCTAATTTTAAGTCTTCATAGGAGAATAAAAATCCCAGTGCTAATTAAGATCACGACTGCCAGTCGTGCAGTTCATGTGCATATAACCAAGACACTGGATAGGACCATGTCCCCATAAACATTAAGTGCAAAGTCTTTTTAAATAACGTGAACAGCAGTTTCCTGAAAGAAAGAATTCGCCCTCTTTGAAAAAAGGAAAAGTTATGGGAAAATTTAAACTAGAAATAGCACAAGCAAGGAAAGAGTTTCTGTCTACAGTGTCTTGGGTTTGAAAGAATGGGTAGTTCAGGAATGACAAGCATTTATTGCCTACAGTAATGACATTCATTTCTTCGGGATGAACAGAGTGATTCAGAGTACACACAATGCAAAGCCAGTTTGACAGAAGACACAATTCCAATACAATACAATTTACATCTCTGTTTCCTAACAAATGCAACACATTCCCCACTGTCTGCAGGACACAGACGAGAAGGGATGTTTTAAAGGGATACTCCTGACCTTCTTTCACTGCCTCTGATGATTCCTGGATCCCACTCCATTCCTGAAGCTCCTCTTTCTTGTTTATGGCACAGACACGAGCTTCTGAAGCAGAAAGGCATTGTGGGGGCTGTAGTTCAGTTCATGCTCAGTGATGGAGAGCCACCTTGAAGCTTGACTCCAGACAAACACCCTCATCTGCCCAGAAAGTGACATGCAAACTAACAGGAACAGCCCCTGACGTGCTCAGTTAAGGGAGAGCAAGGTAACCAGTCCTCAAGTCCTGAAGATATCCCCAAAGCACAAACTGTTCACATTACATTGGAACTCCAGAAGGAGTGACCCACAGTCCCAAAAGGTCAGTCAGTCATTATAGCACATCTAGCATACTGTATATATACTCTATAGAATATACAGCTCATCAGCAAAGGTATCTCAAAGTCCTCAGAACTGTTTGTCTTATGTATATATTTTATTTTTTTACATATCAAACATTATTCACATCGATTTGTTCAATATATACTCCTTGTATTTAGAATAAAATCACTGTTGTATTTTTTTATATATATTCTGTATATACCATGATGAAATAAAAAAAAAAATGCAAATAAATAACAGGCACAGTAACATGATTCGCACGATGCTCTTGTTGCGATAATCACCTCAGCCTCTCAGGAGGTCTGAAGGGGTCCTAGTAGTATCAGGCTTCAGCACAAAGCCTCCGCTGCTGGGCGGATCCTGCCTTCTGCCATTGTGAAGGGGGACTAGACGGGAGGATAAAATCTAGACAGGATCAGCCGAAACTGAGAGGTCCAGTTCAGGGTTTCAGGCCGCTCCTCCAACCACGCAAGTCGAAGGGAAACGCGCCGCATCAGAAACCATCAGTGACCTCCAGCACGGATAGCAGTTGTGACCTCTGTAGTGTGATACTGGTGCTAATGGCGGTGATTCTGATTAGGGAAAAACTGCGCAACAAGTCCAGATATATCAAGTCCTGTGGGAAAGGAATCTGGGAAGAAATATCAGCACAAAATAAATTACACACACACATACAGTACGCATAGTGCACGAGTGCATTGGCTGCACTGTATATATAAATGCTACATAAAACTAGAAGAGTTTTGAGGCACAAACTAATTTCTTCACGGAACTCTGGGGTCTGCCTGGCGTGTGGTTCCCAGGGCTACTAAAGAGAACACACACAGATGGACGATACTGCAGCCACAAGGACAAACTCACAGAGATCACTGGCACGGTGATCTAGACAGACAGACACACAGACGCACCCACATTCAGGACTGCCACAGAGAGACTCCCCAGCGCAGCCTGGCTTCCACTGGATTCCCTGGGACAGGCTGGATTCAACGGTGCCCGCGGGTGCACCTCCTTACCTCCTTACCTTCTCTCTTTTTTTGGGGGGGGCGGGAGGGTGGGGGAGGGGGCTCGTATCACTGACTGCTAGCTTCATCAGAAGGAGATGCACTTCTCATGCAGTGCAGCGGCGCAATACAGCTGTGGCTGACTCTCCAGACTGACGAATCCGAACACCCGAGGAAGAGACCGCTCAGAGGAGGGGGGATTTCTCTTTTAGACGAGACTGGAAAGCACTGCTGAGTATGACCTGGTGTGCAGTTCGTGGCACTTTGTTTCCTGACATTCAGTGGGGCTCCCCTGTTCAAGACCAGCACCCCAGTGCTACTAGCCAGGTGTGTGTGTGTGGGGGGGGGGAATTCAGATTTTGATGGTTCAAAAAAACAGAACCTGGAGATTCGCTAATAATGGCACTTGCTTAGGTGAAACCTACAGTCCAGAGATTGCTGGCTGAAAACTGGACTCTTTAGCCAACCATGAGTTGCACAGAAATGGCAGAATGCCATTGGGATTGAGTGGCCTCATGCTGGACAGAAAAGGGTCAGCTTGTTGTGTGAAAGCAAGACCAGCAGACTAGATGCTTTCTGAAGGATGCACCGCAGCAGGGCAGTAAAACTGACTGATGAGGGGCAAGCAAAAAATGATGTCACCAGGAAAAAAAATCCCCTCTGCCTATGGGTCACTTCTAGAGCTGCAAAGAACCTCCAGAACTGCAGTGGAACAAAACAGAGGGTGTATTGCTCACTTTACCTTGGGACAAATATGGGCAGCAGCTAAGAGACTCAGCTCTCTCAGCTCCTGGTCTCCCAACAACACTGTGCATGATGAGTGAGCAGGAGCACTGCCCCTCCTGGGACTCCAACACAGCTGCTCTCTGCTCTTTAGCATCTGCGGCTTTGGAGCCCCAGAGCGCTGCTCCCCAGACAGGAGGGAATTCCACTACGCTAAAAGGCCAGGCCTCCTGCCGCTGCAGAACTCAGAGCTGTCCAGGGTCTGGGTGCATGAGATTTTACAACAGCTGGGACGGCAGGCGCTGCAGGTTTTAGAAAAGAGCCACGAATGGTGGACCTCAGTCAGAAGAATCTGCACAGCGCTGTTAAGATGTCTCAAAGAGAAGGGAAGGAACCCGGCTTGAGTGAGGAAGTAAGTAAGGAGACACACGAGTGGAGGCCTTTCAAGCCCAGCGAGTGGCTAACTGAGCTGATGATCTCCTCCAGCCTCCTCCCACATGAGTCGTAATAATCCAGTGGCTGGCCGCTGAGAAGAGACGCCGCTGCAGACCATGGGGATTGAGACCAACCCTTGGGAGACAAGGCCCCCCTGCTCCCAGGCCACGCTCCATCTCTCTCTTCCAGAAGGCCACCCCGGCAGCCCCCCACCCCCCACCCCCCGCCCCTCATGCCTCCCGGGGGGGGCCCAGCAGCAGTCACGTGACCTCGAGGGAGGCGGGCGAGACGCGGTCGCACTCGGCCCGGGACCGCAGGCTGTGCCACTGCTCCACGGGCGTGCGCTGGGAGCTCAGGAGCCGGCGCCAGTGGCTGCTCTCGGGGGGCCCCGTGGAGAAGCGGCCGATCACGATGCGCCCCACGAAGTCGTTGCTGCTCTTCATGTTGTGCCCGTACACTGGAGAGGAAGGAGAGCGGGCGATCAGCGCACGGCACAGGCGGGCGACCCATTCATCTGACAAGTGCCAGGCAGGATGGCGCGTGGGACTTGTGCGTTCAAAACCCCTTTCAGTCTTCTTCTAATGCAACACTGCGCTGACCGAAACTCTGCCTGTCAGATTCACCAATAACCAAAACTTTTTAAAACCCTGAAAAGTTGCAATACCACTACCACCACTGCTACTGCTACTGCTGCTACTAATAACAATGTTTTACGCCTGCAATAAAACCTGCAGGTCCAGGTCATTCTAAATATCACACACAAAATAAGCAGAAACAGAACATTCGAATTGCAGAGGAAGGTAAATATGTGAATTGGGGGTATCAGTGTTAAACAGGTCTGCTACCTACCTTAATTACTGAACAAAAAGTTAATAATGTTTTTCAGGGCTGGAAAAAAGTTAGAAACACAGCCCCAACTCATGAAAATGTCTTAATTAAAAGTGATGACGTCTGAAATTAAACATTCACAGTATATCTAACCATAACCCCACAGTGATATTGGTGTGGCAACAGTTTAGCTTTGATTAACAGCTTATAATATTGTAAAGGAAACTATCCTGGTGACATCATCAGCTATAAGAAATACTCTACCCTTATCTCTTTGTCATGTGGTGATTTCAGGGATGTCTTCCTCTCTACGTCTCTGTACTTGTCTCTCTCTCAATTTCTTTTTTTAATGGAGAAAAGACAGAGTAGGAGATGTGTTTTTACTAATATCAGAATGGACAAGAATGGATAAATAAGATCAATAGCTTTGTGCATGCTAGGCAAACATCCCATTTTGTTACTGACAGTGGAATTCCTAGGAGCATTGAACTCTGGGATACATGACCCAACACAGAGGATGAATATCACCTGAACTAAGCTTGCTGTAAAATGAGTCCTCTGAGCCCATGTGCGCAAGAAGCAGAGAAAGACATTTAAACAAAGAGACTCATGTAAGGAGTCCCTTCTCTTACATGAAATACAATTGTTACACAAGCCTAGGGTGCAAGCTCAGTTTAAACTCTTCTGTAGACATTTGCTGTACTAGGAAACTACACACTTGTGTGAGAGCAGCACTACATGTTTAATAAACAGTCAGCCAAAGATGTGATTAACGAGTTCAGCCATCAATCATTTTACTGTGTCAAGATTAGAACTCCACTGCTAATAAGAGTGCTCCGAATGATTTATTACAGTTCACTCTATGGATCCTTTTTTGATTTTTTTTTCACGGCATGTACAGAACATTTATTGGAGATACACTACCGCATGCAGCATACACTTCCTTTAGTAGTTGCACAATCTAGAGGAACAAAATTCTTTTGGGGGTGTTTTTGTACAAAGTCTATACCTTTACCAGCACATTTGGCATCTTCAGTAGGAGCCCAGTAACATAGGGTAGAAATGATTGGTTTTGAAGGATTGTTCTGCAACAGCTCAAAAGAGCAGTATCTTTCTTGCTTGTGCAGTTGGGGTGGAAGGGCTCTTTTCTGATCTGCTGGAAGGAAATAGAGGAACAGCTGCCACCTGCCCTTCCCTGACGTAGCAAACTTCCATGCTCCTCTTAAGGCTGGCTTATCGATTATTAATGTGGCATGAGTCAGATATAGATGTAAAAATAGAAGCAACCCCCTAGACAGGTCATGTTAAGGAATGTAATTCACAGGGGAGTGAGGTGAAGGTGGTTTTATCATGTGCTTGACAAGGCAGATGGGCTTAATGCATTAATTACGGGGCATCCAAATAAGAGTGAAAAAATAAATCATAAACACAACCAATATTGGTTGTTGCCGTACTTCATAAACCTCGATCAGACATGTGTTAGACAGGTGCCCTGTCACAGCGGTAAGGGTGTTGAGGCATGAAGAGAGCTCCCAAACAGATCAATTCTACTCCCACTGCACCCTCCCCCCATTCTTAAATGACATTCCTGAACATTTCTGTACCAAAAAAGCTGCTTTCTGATAAGGTCCTTTTAATCCCCTGACAGATGACTTCATTCTCGAACGGTACATTACAAACTAATATGAAGACTGTGGCTAAGAATCTGCGCCTGTGGCTGGAAGGTTGCCGGTTCAAATCCTGCGGCCGGCAGAGGAATCCTACTCTGTTGGGCCCCTGAGCAAGGCTGCTTAACCCCAGCTGCTCCAGGGGCGCCGTATAAATGGCTGACCCTGCACTCTGACCCCAAGCTTCTCTCCCTGTCTGTGTGTGTCATGGAGAGCAAGCTGGGGTATGCGAAAAGACAAATTCCTAATGCAAGAAATTGTATATGGCCAATAAAGTGATTTTATAACCTTGCAGGTGAGAAGCCTCATCACCCTCTGCGAGGGGCAGAGGAGCAGAGAGACTGGCAGAATGGATTTGAAAGAGAGGGTGAGGGAGAAAAACCCAGGGGAGGGAGAAAGAGAGGAGCAGATACAGAGAGAGGCATGAAGCAGGGAAGAGCTGCCAAACAGACTTGGATCGCCGTGCTCTGCTGTGTGGCAGAAGGCAGTGCACACAGTGCATGGAGTGTCAGCTGCACTTTAGCTCCCAGATGTTAAAGATCCCTGTCAAGGTGTGGAGAAGCCATCCAGAAGACAAGCTGCGTGTTGTCTCCTCCCAGAGAAGAGACTGCTTGAACCCACCGGCATTGAGAGACTGAGGCTGGCGGGGGGGGCGATCATTATGTGACATGCAACTGCCCCTGTCTTTATACCCCCACAGGCACTCCCAACTCATGGCTGTTTCTTGTATCTTGCACGTCAAGGTCTTTTTCTTGATGAGTTACAGATAGGTTTGTGCCTACAGCCTGTAGCGGTCCTGCCTTCATCGTAGGGTTCACAAGCCTTTTTAAAAAAGCACCAGGGAAGACAATAAGGAGGATCAATGACCGCAGTAATCAGTGAAATTGTGTGGTTAAAAATCAGACACTCCCAGAGCACAGGTTGAGCACTAACGATCACAGGCATCTGGGTCACACCTGTACTTGGTCCATCCTTAGCAGTCAAGTGCTCTAGCTGGTAAGTTACAGCATCTCACATAATGAGCACCTCAGGCAGGGTGAGGGTGCATCTCCTTCTTGAAGTTGAATCATGTACATATAACTGCCATATATATAACTGAAACTAATTGACAAGTCCAAATTTAATAAACGACCAGAAGTACTACTGCACTGCTCGAGAAACAGGAGTTACAGTAGGGCTGTCATTTATCCCTTTCGAGTACACAACAGAGGCAGCATCAGTCAAAAAGAAGTCAGCCAAAGTGTTTAAGATGTGCAGAGCTGAGTTCATCCACAGTGCACTGAAACAGGGGTCCTGATCCATGATCCTCTGGACAGCTGAGCCCTTGAGATTGCTGGGGCCTTTGAAATGTTAAACTGCAGGTTTGCATATTGGCATAGGACACGATAAGCACAGCAATGTATTGGTGGAACTGCACTATATAAGTGGCATTTTTCTTCACTGGAAGCAATGTGGTCTGGTGTTTATTTCTTAAAAAATAAATGTACAAACGGAGTGCACAAAGCACCCCTCAATCAAGCGTAGCTTTCAACGAAAAATAAATAAATTTCAATAGCAAAATCCAGGATGCGTCCTGAAGCCCGTGAAGATCTGATATGAAAAAACCTGGTGTTTATCCACATGCCCAGCTACTCAAGGGGAAAGCTTTGTGCCATCTGTTTAGTCCCACTCTCAGGCCTCTGCTTACAATGGCACTGTGGTGAAACAGAAGCAGGCGCTGCACAGTGACGTGAAGCCCACTGGAAAAGCTCAGTGCACGGAGTCTGTGTGGCATTAATATGCTTGCCCTCCTCATTTCTGGAGCGCTCTTGGCCGCCGTAATTATTATGAATGATGGCCACTGACGATACAGCCAGAGAAGGTAAGAAAGAATCGTTTAAGCACAAACACAGTAAGGTAGAAACTAGAGGAGTGAAAGGAGGGAAACACACAAAAGCTGACCTTTACCTGATCATGCGCTGAACTATGACAATGTCAGAGAGAAGAGGAAAGGGAAAATAAAAGAAGTAACATCATTGTATTTCCACTAAGGGAATTATTTCCCCTCTGGTATCACTTTGTCCAGTCTTTGACATTTCTTTTACCATGGCATTTACACATCATGGTACAGCACAGGGGCACCCTGCCGACTGCAGTCATATCTAAGCAGGTCCGGCATTTAATAACTCAAAAATCTTGATATTTGTAATGTATCTAAGTCCCCTGAAAGAAAAACAGTATGCATTTTCATGACAATTGCCTTCTGAGGTCTACGGCAGCTTTCTGTTTGTGAGATCTTGTCACGCAGCGGTCTTTCACTTGACGCGCATGTCAATTCAGCCTTCTGTGAACGCCTGGGTCAATATCGTTATTATTGCACCGGCCTGTGGTGCCGCACACATCGCCATCGGCTCGGAAACAGGTGGCTGCTGATTGTTTTAACGAGCGCAGTCGTGTTTCCTGACCACTCAAACCAGTGCTGCGCTGTGCTAGGCTGGCTGTCAGTCCTGTCAGCAGCTGAATGGGTTCAATGTCCATAAACGAAATGTTGAATTAAGTCCCCACATGCAAACACAGCTTGAGCTGTAGTCCAGTCCGGTGGTGAGCGGCGGCATTATTAATCAAGCAAATGCTTTTGGCATTTAAATCAAGCTAATGAGCCCTCCTGCGGCTGGCCAGGTAATGCAAGCAATTACTGTAATGGCACAGGAAGCCAGTAAGAGGTGCGCCGCCTGCCCCATCCAAAACCGTGACCGAGCTGCAGTGAGCTCTTCCAGGCTGTCACACAATGGCCAGCTTCTCCTAGAAATGCAAAATCACTCAACAAAAAGCAGGGGAGAATGTAGAACTGCTCAGCGACTGTGCTAACTTGAATCGGATGTCCCAAGGAGGCTACTTTTTGCTCACTCTGAACGGCACGTCTTAATTCCAATTTGAACAGCACCGGTCTGTTTTCCATACGTGGTTTTTGAGCTCTCACGTGGCACGTTGGCCAAATAAATGGAAGGTCATCCACTGTGGATGACCTATTGAAGTCAGGGTATTCTAATATAGCACTCTTACACCAATGGCAGACTCACTCATAGCCTGCTTCTACACACTCAGCTGATCTATCACACCAGCTGGCCACAGGTCTTCATGTTATCGTGCGATGGAGCTTTGACGTATTCAGAATTTACTGTATGTGTACAATTATTGACCCATAATTGCTTCATTATTAATTAATTTTTCCTCTTGGCTGAAGGTCCCTCCAGTAACTAAATATTAGCTCAAGCACTAACTTGTAGTGGAATGGAGTGATTGACCCAAGGTTAGACCCCCGTGTCAATCTCAATGGTTCTTCGGTGTCAAAGTCCATCAGGCTCTAAGGGGCTCTGCAGATCCCTGCCTGCTGCAGACTGGAAACGTGGCCTGGGTTGGCTCAGCTGAATGAGTGTCTAGCTTAATGCACCTGAGGTCCTAGGAGGAATAACAACCTGCAGGCCCAGGTCAGGGTGGCTCACAGATCCTTCAGTTAGACAGGTAGCCGTTACCTGTGAGGACCAGGCTGACGTCCTGCAGCTCCTCCTGAGTGACGCGGAAGCTGAAGGATTCGTTGAAGAAGGGGTCGATTGTGCCCCTCATGCAAGCCGTCTTCTTGGTCTTCACCAGCTTCAGTCCCATCACAAGCTGGACCTTTACAAAGGGGTCTGTGGAGGAGCGTGTAGGAATCAAAGAGGAATACAGAAGAGTTTTAGTTCAGTGTGCTCAGTATGTTGAGAGTCTCAGTGTAGTGCTGTGCTCAGTGTGCTGAGAGTCTCAGTGCAGTGCTGTGCTCAGTGTGCTGAGAGTCTCAGTGTTGTGCTGTGCTCAGTGAGCTGAATGTCTCAGTACAGTACTGTGCTCAGTGTGTTAAGAGTCTCAGTGTAGTGCTGTGCTCAGTGTGCTGAGAGTCTCAGTGCAGTGCTGTGCTCAGTGTGCTGAGAGTCTCAGTGTAGTGCTGTGAGTCTCAGTGTAGTGCTGTGAGTCTCAGTGTAGTGGTGTAGTGCTGTGCTCAGTGTGCTGAGAGTCTCAGTGCAGTGCTGTGCTTGGTGTGCTGAGAGTTGAATCATGAGCCCTGGCTCATGAATCATAGTTACCTGAGCCCTGGCTCATGTCTGTTTGCAGCAGCTGTTTGGCCCGGATGATTTCCACATTGAGTCTTCCTGCACTGGGCAGGTGGTTCAGAGACAGAAGAAGCTCACCCAGCTCTACCTCATTCTGGAGAACAGTGGAGAAAGCCAGTTATTCTTCTCACCATGGAGCCATTTCCAAATAATAATGACAAGGAGAAATCGGTTCAGCCGAGAAAGGCTGCTCGCTCAGAGCACACAACTGGCCCCTTGTCTCCATGGATTCTACCACGGGCCCAGATTCTTTCTGCAAGAGACACGAAACAAAACTCAAAAGATCCGAAAACAGGACAAGCCTTTTCAAAAACATGTTGTCTCAGTTTCAGAGAACTGCTTTTGTCATACCTGTAAATTTGGGGATATGTACAAAAAAAAAACTCAAAAAAGAGTGATGTTAGTTACGGGTTTCCTGTGTCACTGCAGTTGTTTATGGAATTGGTCTACTGAAAACTTCACATGTGAACACATTATTTATTACCTGCATTTTTGTGCTTTATTATACAAAATAATGATGTCCTCATAAGGGAAAACATCACTAACAACATCAGAATGATCTCTTCGGATGACCACAGCAGGGTGTTAATGTTTTCACGACATATGAAGACATGACATCCTTTTAGTTATTTTTATAGTCCACAAATTACAACAGGGATGTGTAGCCCTCTGCATGAATAATTTCCTCCCAAGCCCTGGGCGAAACCAGCTCAGAGGTTCCTCTGTGCGTAGCGTCCTACTCTTTCCACTTTCCACTGTGCAATTTCCACTTAACAAAATTACTCACTGCATGTGCTTTTTCCACTCTGAGTGATGTCATCTGCAACGAAGGCTCAACGCCCTGGCAATACTTGTCCCTGGTAGCAGTCCAACCTTGTGGAGCAACAGCCACAGAGCACACAGATCCCTACAGAGCCAGCTTCCACCTCCCAGCAAACCACCCGACCCTGAGCTGCTCGATCTCCCTTCTACTCAGCCGGAAAGTCCCCTGAAGCCTAACGCTGGTCTGCAGACCCACAGGACTGGCCGTATGCAACCTGGCACGACAGGGTCTGCACCTAAGGCCAGGCCAGAATCCACGTCCATACCTGCGCACTTGGCACCAGAGCCTTCCACCAGTGCCCGCCCTTGACCAGGTCGACCTCGCTGAGGGGCACGGCCACCTTGCCGATGACGCAGTGCCGGGAGAACTTGTCGAAGTCGACGACGGAGAGCAGCAGGGTGCGGCGCTGGGCCTCGAGGAAGGGCAGGTCGAAGGTGAAGCGCTCTTCGAAGACGGGGTTCTGCGTCTTGCGCTTGACGCCCGTCTGCCGCGAGTTCTTCTGGTCGGGCAGCAGGCTCATCTTGACGTAGGGGTTGGAGTGGGCCATGTCCTGCCGCGCGCCGTCGCAGGCCAGGGGCGGGGGCAGGTCGCGGGCCTCGATCACCCGCACGCTCAGGTGGTTGTGCAGCAGGTCGTACTGCGTGCTGAAGTGCAGCATGCCCAGCTGGTAGCGGGACAGGATCTCGTCGTCGGTCAGCGAGTCCATGTCGTCGCTGCTGGAGTCCACCGAGTACAGCCGCGGCTCAAACTTGCGGAAGTAATCTTCGGCCGCCACGTAGGGCTTCCTCAGCACGGAGGGCTGGACTGCCTCCTTTTTGGAGCCGATGGCCCAGAACTCAATGGGCTTGATGTCCACCAGTGGGGAGCTGGGTCTGCGGACCTCCAGACCTGCGTGAAACACAGACAGACCATCACTCTCCAGGGACGTGGGCATCAGCGTTGTGCTGGAAGTGCATAGGGGTTTGGACATTTAAAATGAATGGACATTTCAGGGGCCAAAAAAAGATCGGGGGTAGTAAACCTGGAAGGAGCAATTTATTCCAGTGCATGTCTTCCAGACAACCTGCCCCGTAAGTGAATTGTCAGCTGTGCAAAGTTTTAAAGAGCTGGATGTACAGTAGCAGGACCCTGTGCTGGTTGTAGCCCAGCCTGCTGGTCTCACCCTAAG